GAAGAAAAAAAATGGAGGAGGAGAAGGGTGGAGGAGATAAAGGAGCAACAACGAGAAGATCTCGAATGAGGCTTCTTCTGGCTGGGCAAAGACAGACAGACTGAGGCAGACAGAGTCAGTGTGCGGCGTCCATCTTTTGCGCTGGCGAAAATGTGGGCGGGAGGGCTGGTTGACGCGCTAGTCCTGTCTGGGCCTAGCCAAAGGACTCCGCGCCGAAGCAAGAAAATCATCCATGATCGCTTTTGCTTCATCTTCTTCAAGATCGTATGTTCTCGTCCCTCATCCCCTCCCCACTTTCTTCTCTTATTTACCGCTGGGTTGACCCTCGAGCTCCTTTGGATTGGATTTTATTGTCTGATATTATCTCCTCATACCTCAAACCCACCTACCTCCCCTTCCAACCGCCCCCCAATATCTCGATGGCATCCTTCCTCCAGTCTCTGCCGGTGTGCACGGCTGTTCGCAAGCAGTCCACTGCTGTTCCTTTCACCCTCCACAAAGCCTCACAGTCCATTGTCTCCCTAGGACCGCGTAGCTCTTACTCCACACTCTCTTCCTCCGCTAGTCTGACTTCTGCCCGTAAGTTCGCAGCGCTTTCCGTCTAGTTCCATGCATCGGGGACAGTAAGCATGCATAGCTATTGCTTGTGCCCGGCACAACAGATAAACCAGAAAGGCCATTGCATATATACTGATTCCATCCCACGACATCCAGCCCTCCGCTCCTCTCAGCGTTTCAATGTCCGTCCCACCTCCGCACAGCAATGTCGCACCTTCATCGCTCAACTGAACCGCCGTCAATCTCAGACGCTCAAGGAGAGCGCGCCGACGACTCCGCAACCGCCCGCTAACCTGCAACTCACCAACCTCCCCTACTTCATCCGTCGTACCGCCTCCAACCTCCTTCCCGTATACGTCGACACCAAAGCCGGCGGTACCAAGCGCGAGACCAAGTTGCAGAAGACGGAGGGTGATCTTGATGCTTTGAGATCGGATCTGGCACAGTACTTGGGTCTGGAGTCGGGCGACCCGCGCGCCCCCAAGAGCCCAGAGGTGACAATTAACCGTCTCAACGGTCACATCATCGTCAAGGTATGGCACAGCACCTGTTATTCATTCTCAAGCATGGACCCAAGGATCGGACTGACGCAACTATCAATTCAGGGCTGGCGGAAACGGGAGATCGAGCGTTTCCTGACGGAGCGCAACTTCTAAGCCTATCAACCAATGATCTGATATTGGTTTCTGGATCCTTTTCGCTCCTTCCTCAAAATACGAATGTCAATATCTCCTTATCCACCACAGCTTGGCCCAAAACGACAGCAGCACTAATAGCACGCTATCACATCACAAGCAACTCCCATCGACCCCCGGAGCGTCAAGGATTCAAAAGAAACAGGCCATCAAAAATCCAAGGAAAATCAATCAACATCTCCATGAACCGAGAATCCACTACAGAGATAAGAGTGAAAGAGAGATGGCACTCAAAAGCAGAATATTCATCACAAGGGGGGAAACGGCGAGGCTATATCCGAATAGTCCGCTACTGATGGTTGGAATTTCCCTTTTCTTCTCGGTTTAACCCAAAATAACCACCTAACTCTTATCATCGTCGAAACCACCTCTCATCATTTTACATCTATTTATCTCTCTACCAGCCTCCTCTTTTCTTTTCTCTTCGTTACTCGATTACACAGTGTACTATTCCTCGCTCTTCATAGTACCTTCTTCCAGGTGTTTTATGTTTTCGCATATTTCCAGTTCATCTTTTCTTAACCCGTGGTTAAAGTACGGAGCTATTGTCTGGTTGTTTGTCATTTCTGGCGTGATGTGTGTTCTGTTTTTCTGTCCTCTTTGTGATCTCCACTGTATTCTGTCCAATGATCTGAACGGCTTTGGTGTTTCCACATTAGTCTCTTGTGACATACTTAGTAATTTGTGATGAATGACTCGGGTATCTCTTGTTCTTGTTTTGATTCGTATATGGTAAACAGTATGGCATGATCGGGGCCCTCGGGGGTTTGGAATGGTACGTGCGGAGGTCACAAACATAGACCATCTACGCGGGCGGTGCTTCCAACCTCAGGGTACACGCTCAAGGGAACTGCAGCTTTCCCCGGGGCTACGCTTCGAATCGACCACGGACCGACCTACTTCAGGCATTATATATGGTGGTGATTGTGTTCATTTTTTTTACGCCCGAGGGTATTGAACATTGTACAGCGGTAAATCACACAAGATACACACACATTGTCAAGTCACGCCTTTCAAAAATCTTCCCACCGGCGCCAAACGAGGAAAATTGAACAGATGAGGGGGTTAAATGGAGGAAAGATCAAAGCTGATGCAGATATAGTTTACTAAAAGTTGAATAGAAGACATGATAGAAGCAGACATCAACAAGGGGCATAACTGAAGCGGTGCCAGGCACGCGACTCTTGCCACGAGGCAAGTGGCTTGAACCCTGGCTCCGAGTCTAACCTATCACTCCGCAAGTCGAGCGTAGGTGAGCAGTTGCCGAACAACACCCGGATCAATATTGGGCATTAGCAACGCGCCTAGCAAACTCTCTTTGCGAGGAACAATCCCCGAGGGGAAATGCACCGTCGAATTTGTGTCTGCTAACTTCGACTTTTCTGCGAGCCGACGAAGGATTGCCAGGCCGCGGTTAATGATTGAGCGGTATGCTTCAGCTTCATCAGCCTGACCTCTTGCAGCATGAGACTGCCGGGTGTTGGTGGGGGGAGGGGGCGGAACACGTTCAGTGCTCAAAAGACATGACAGTCGAAGAAGGTGAATGGCGAACCCGTCCACTGATTCGAGCCACGTTTTGGCAGTAGGGCCATCTGCATACCCTGAAAGAATGTCTGCCGCCAACAAGCCTTGCATGAGGAAGACCTTTCGGAGATCTGCTATGGCCAGCGGCTTGCGGGGCTGGTCAGGGATCGGACATATCGCGAGGCTAAATGCACGGGTGAGCAATTCTTGTTGATTCGAACCGCCCTCGCCAGAGAAGATGGTTCTGAAGAATGTCCGATTTGGCTCATCCCGCGCCAGAAGCTTGGCCAGACTGTCAACAGCCGCGGGAGTGTACTTGTGTACAGACGGATTGTATGATGTGAACATAATGCCTTCTGAACCAATCACTGGGCCTGGAAATGGAGCGAACGACAAAAGAAAATGTAGGAGACACAGAGCTTCTTCTTTGCTGGGCAGCTGAATGGTGTGAGCAACATTGCTCAAATAAGTCACGGTGTCCTTCATGAAATCCAGGGTGTTCTGGTGTGTCCGTAGGAGCATGTTGCGAGTACCCAGGTACCGGATTATGGTTGACATGAATTGGACAACAGGGGGCGTCGACAAAATTGCAAAATTAGAATCCGAGAATGAAAAATTCCGCAGGATAGTCGTTATGCAAATGAGCCTATCAACAGCTCGATCTAATTCGTAATCAAGGCTTCCGAACTCAGGCACGTCAGCCAAAGATGTCCATTCGGACTGGCAACCACGAGTCACTTCCTCATATGAGGATAGAAGCATCGAGTCCGACACTTCAGGAGAATGTTCTGCAAGGAACTCTGCTTGATCTTCTGCGCATTCTATCAGACTCTCTACCAGGTCGTCACAATTATCCAATGAGACTTGAATTGCAGGCTCCGACGAAACGGACGCGAGGGTATCCAATGCCACACGCATCTCGGCATGGATTCCAGACTTGATGCTCATTGTAAGGGCATGAATGTCGATGACTCCAAGCTCAGCAAAAGCAGGAAGATTCGGCTTTAGCCTCGTTATGTCCTCTCCAATCTGGTACATCTCATCCACCACTATGGGACCGTGGAAGTTGCTCTCAGGAAGCACCATTGGTTTGAAGGGATCTTCAATAGGTTGTTTGAGAGGCATATTAGAAGGCTGCTCTACTGGCTCCGGTTTACCGGGAACTGATATCGAGCCTTTGCCACGCTGCGCAGGGGATTGCCCAGGGATTTGAGTGCTGGGATCATGCGGCGTCGGGGGCGGCTGAGATTGGCGCGACATACTGAGGCGGTGCTGGTTCTGTTGTTTGCTCTGCGTTTTCACCGGCGTTGGGGTCGCGAAACCATTTGCAGCGTTGTGTTGTACATTATTCGGACCAGGAGCACTACCAGGGGAGGGGTGCCCCATTTGCTGTGGAGTTTCGAAGCCTTGGACTGGCTTTCCCGCTGGTGACTGTAGTTGCATGCCCGGAGGATCGCTAGGCTGCCGAGACAACGACGACTGCTGCATTTGCTCCGCATATTGCTTTTGTTGGTTACTCAGGAAGGCTTGTTCGTAGGCTGCAAGGTTCCGCTGGTAATGCTCCCGAATTTCTTGCGCAGCCAGCGGAACCTGCATTGGAGGGAATTGAAGCTGTGTGGCGATAACTTGCCACATATTGGTGGCTGTAATCTTCTTCGACCCTCCAAGTTTCATGACAGTAGCGTAAAGTTGGACAAGATTAATCGGACGGCCACACACATGTGGGTTAGGATCCAAAACAAGGTTGCGCGACATCATGAACTTCTGCAGGGACCGCATGAATCCTTCTGGGTTCATGGGCTTCGCCATGGTCTGCTGCATTTGCCTAATAGCTGCCATTTGCTGGGGGTTCGCCATTGCGTTCATACCAGCTGCCATGGGTCTTCCGGCCATGGCAGGGTTCATTACCATTGGACGGCCTTGTTGTTGCATCTGCATAGCATGCAGACGTTGTTGCTGCTGCTGCGCGGCAATTGCTTGTTGATAGCCTTGTGGCATGCCACCATAATGAGCCTGCATTGGCGGTTGCACACCGGCGGTCGTCATTGCAGGCGCGGGGGCAAATTGAGGACCCATGCCCGGTGGAAACGGCTGCCCTGGCATGAACGTGTTATTTTGGGGTGTATTCACCCTGCTCGGATGGTCCGACTGCGTCGGAGACATGTGAGTCCCTACTTGAGGGCCTGCTGGTGTGAATGGACTTGGGGAAGCAGTTCCCATCCGTTGGATGCCATGTTGATCGAAGTCTTGCATGATAGGCGACTGGGTAACATTCGGAGATGCTCCTTGTTGGAGATGCTGATACGGAGTGGGATGCGAAGGGAATTGCGGCGCGCCGTTCGCAGCACCTTGATACCCAGGGAACGGTACCTGGTGAGGGGTTTGCGAACGGGAGGCAGCAATGCCGCCAGGAGCTTGCCTTGGCGACATTGACAGACCATCTTCTGGCCGTGGCCGCTTGGAAGGAATTACCTGGTTCGGGTTGTGGAAGCCAGGCGAGACATTGCGAGGTACGCCGTTGAACATGCGCTGGTATTGGGTCGGGTCAGGAGTGGGAGAGGCTTGGAGGAATGCCTGAGAAGGATCAATGGTCGCCTGGTGAAAAGCACCATTGTCATGGTTCGGAAGGTTCAAGGCGTCGGCTGGCCAGGCATTCATGTCGAGTAGTTTTACCAACCCATCTGCGAGGCGAAGCAAGCTATCAGAAAAAATGACACATAAATTGGGGAGCCATCATCAAGCCGCGACGAGGGGGATAGGGATCTCAAAGTCATCATGACCTCCGTCAATGCGAAGGGAGACGACGAGTGTCGAAGATAAGATGAGGAGGGGGCAGACGCGTCAAGCTTGGTGCAAGAGCTGGCAGAGAGTCGCGCTTCGCTCTGCGACACGAGCAAAGCAACAACCACACCTCAGCGTGAGATGAGGGGGCAATGGGGGAGAATGATGGCGGGGAAGGTAATGAAAAGGGGATCGAATAGATTTGAAAATATCAAGAAGGAAAATGGAAAGGGGCAGATAGGATGGATGTACATACCGACAAGGCTGGATAACTAAAAATGCCGACTCACAAGCGGATGGAGGCCGGGTCCCGAACAGCAGTGGTTGGAAAGGGCCGGCGAGAGATTGCGAGGGCGAGGAAGCAGGTCACGGGACCCAGTAGTACTGTTCGGGGGAGGGAGTTCTGGGAGCGCGCACCCGGCAGAGGCGAAACGACTCGGGAAGGCAGCAACAACTGGTGGCTGAGGGCGGAAAAAGGCAGTAAGTAAGCAGAAAGTCAAGTTAGAGGGCTCAGAGCTAGCTTGGCACGAGGAAAGTACGAGTAAGAGAGAAACCAAGGTCGGAGGGTCTGGACCAGGTGGGTAAAAGCTTCGGGACAGATCAAACAAGAGATGGATAAAGTAGGTAGACAATAAGATAGCGCTGCACCTCCGTCTAGTTCTATGACATGACAGACGGAGAACCATAGACAGAAAGAGGGAGGGCGTCACAACGTGCGTGGTTAAAGGTAGTTTCCGAGGAATGGCGAAAGGGTGGCCCGTCCTTCTTTAGTGCGTGGCCACAGTTTTGGAGGAGGGAGGGGAGTGGAAGAGTGTGTGAAGCAAGCGTGTGCGTGTGTGTGGGTGGGAGCAATTCCAATGGCTGGCACCGCATAATGGGCGGGCAGGGCGTACCTTGTTCAATGTAGCCTTGTAGGTACACTCACAGTACCTTGGGATTCTGGTAATTTATCTTGGATCTTATTTTAGAATTTCAGGGTAATTTTGTTTTCGCGATTTTGGCGCTGAAAGAGATGGACGAGATGGGGGAGGGGGGAGAAGAGGGTCTGGCTTTTCGGGTTTCCTTTTGGAAAGGTGGAGTTGCTGGCAGGAAAGACAAGAATGGAGACAGGACGTGGAGAGCGAACACAGAAGCGACACCTCAGGACACGAGACGGAGGAAGAGGAGGAAGAAGAGACGAGATAACGAATGAGAGGAGAGTGGGAAATCGGTATGAAGCGTGGTGTATGACAGACAGTTGATCTTACTCCCAGCCATGAACAGCAGCAGCAGCAGCAGCAGCAAAAAAAAGTAGCAGTTGAACGCAGTGAAAGGAGGTCACTGACATAGCAGGCGGTCAGGAACGGCAGTATACTCACCCGGGGTCTGTTCCACTTGGTATCGTCTAAACACAAGGTACTCAGCGACTAGGCGATCATAAAATTCTTGAAGTGAACCATCTGCAATACCTGACTGTTGGCAGTAAGTTACGCCTTCCCAAACCTGACAGATATACAGCCAGACAGGCATGTCAGGATGGTCAACCAAGGTACCGACTACGGACTACGGACTTGATAGGTATTCCGACGTATCAACATTAATGAATGAAATAAATCCAGCATCCCATGTGCGTCTACTGTATGTCATCAACCTAGTAAGTTACTCCGTAGTAAAACTAAGACTAAAATTGATCATGACAATAAACTTTCCCGTCCTCAGGGCTTGGCTTTGGGTCTTGTTGGACGAAGGGACATTTCTCGGGCTGTGCGGAGGATCAACACACCCAACAATAAGTTTCCACTACTTCGACTGTTTGTGAATTCAAAGAGTCTAGTATCTACAACAGTAACTACCACTGAACCTTACACCTCCGTACTCAAATTACTCAGTACTACTGTACTTAAACATCGACGGCCTCCGCAAGCGCTGCCAAGCGATGACCTGCCATATCGGGAAGGTAGCCCAACTGGCCGGGTCGTACCAGCACAAGCTGGCTGTTTCACCCATCTGGTACAGGCTAGAAAGAGGGAATCATCATGAAGAATACAGTGACAACAAACATGATCTCGTGGGGAGTCAACTATCAGCACAAAAATCTTCATGAATGCCAAATGGAAAAACGTATAAGAGCATCCCCTTCGCTTGTCTGAGCATTCCGCTTTTACTAAGTGCCCGAATCATTTCTCATCTGAATCTACTACTTCACTGCCTATCAAGATGGCAACGTCTAAAGAATGGCAGAAGATGCTCAACGGTGAGCTCTACTGGGCCTGGGACGCAGACCTGCAAGCCAACCGCCAGCGATGCAAAGCAGCATGCGACAAGTTCAATCAAGCAGGTCAGGTATCTCGACGTCGTAAGGTGGAGCTATGGAGAGAGTGAGAAGCACCAAGCCCATCCATCACAATGTTGAGTTCTGCGACTCTTCAAGCTGACTTGGTGCTATAAAGTATTGTTGGTGACACTCGTCCTCTCCCTCCAGCCCTCTCCGATCCCCAGGAAGATGAGAAGCTTTTCAACGAGACGGACCCATTTGTGGATCCTCCGATCTCTGTCGATCACGGCTTGAACCTCAAAGTGGGAAAAGGCACATTCCTCAACTTCAACCTTCTTGTGCTTGACACCTGCCTCGTTACGATCGGCGAAAGGGTGCTTGTTGGTCCTAATGTCTCTATCTACGGCGCCATCCATCCCATGGACCCCGCCGTAAGGAACGGACTTGAAGGTCCCGAGGCTGGCAAGGAAGTGCACATCGAAGATGATGTATGGATAGGAGGCAGTGTCATAATCCTTGCTGGAGTCACGATCGGGCGTGGATGCACCGTGGGAGCTGGAGCTGTTGTAACAAAGGCACGTGGATCTTCACGACTCCAAGTACAAGACTAACCGCTGACTATTGATGGCTCTTTTTATAGAGTGTACCACCGTTCCATTTCGTCGCAGGGAATCCTGCTCGCATAATACGCAAGATAGAAACAAGCATGGATCCTGACCAGCAGCCAAAAGAGCTTGGGGCGGAGTGAGACAAACTATATCCACATCGGTATCTCTCTATGATGATCACAATCGCGCTAGATATTTTCCCATCAATCAAACCATATTTGCAGCACGCTCTAACTGTTTCAGTGAGTGATGTCTAAAGAATGTTCCAGTATGACCACCTCCACAAACATGACCTGTACAACACACAAGCTTTGGGTGCCATATTGCTAATGATTGAGCTCGTTTACGTACGCAGTACCATTTACCCAGTTGATCAAAGTATAAGATAATCATGCGGCCGTACCAGCCCGGGCGCCTGTGTCTATATCCGTCGGTGAGCTTAGGGTGAATGGGAACCAGGAAGAGGTGGCTTACAAAGGTCGTCCATGATATGTTTGTATCATCGTCGGCACTTTGAGCCGCGCGTGCATCCCAGACCTTTTTCAACAAGTCGTTCGGTACCGGGTTCCGGAACTCAGACCTTCTCTCAATTTCGCGCAGTCTCCCCAGGATATAATACCGCGAATGAGGCGACAGACAGTCCGCTCCGGCCATGAATAGAGGTAACACGACAAGCTCTATGACTGAGCAATCGGATGAGATCATCGCTGTCGCGTCGAGGATCTTTATCACACACTCCTGTATCTCCGAGTCGCGAGCTGGTCTATGCGGGTCCATTAAGCGTAGTATACGCAGCACGCACGCAAATTTGTAGGCTTCTGCTATAGCCATCCATAAGGGATCCGATGTAGGATAAGTCCTGCAGTGAGGGTTCCACGAATAAAGCTTCTGCTTGGCCAGGTGCAAGGCAAGTTGATACTCATCCCATGACAGCCAGCCCAGCATGTGTTCTTTTGACTTCTCCAATGCATCGCCAATGATTAGAAAGATTTCACGCGGGACTCCATTGACCTGCTCGAACATGTCATCGCATGCATAGGCGACCAGGTCTCGAACGTCCTGGGAGAAGCACATCCGTTCGGCGCCAGCAAATGCTCGGACGATGTCAAGCCTATTGTTAGTCGTCAGTAGGATTGACACGGACGCTCACGGCACGGGTGACAGACCAAGCCAAGTTTCCCAGAAAGAAGACCGCGCGCTGTCGGCGGCCATTCAATCCGTCGGCAATCAATTGTTTATATACGGACATGGCTCCTGTGATGTGGATTCCATGAGAAGATACCCCTGATTCGCTTATCTGCATGTATATCAGATCCAGACTTTGAAGCAACAGTCATGTTGGGTCTTCCGACTGGTTGAGCTTACATCGTGGAGTAGCAAAAGTTGGATTATAGCGAGGACTGTATCCTGTTCCTCTTCTCGCAGTGATGTCCGCTGGCTCTTTCGAATTTCCCCACTCAATGCGCGTATTGCTTTCAATCGATATTCCACGGCAGTAGCTTCGTGCATTACTTCGTCCCCTATGAGCCTGCCAAGATGGGAGGCAGATAATCCTAGAACTGCGTATAACAGGCCGATCTGTTTCCGTGCTAATGGGAGGATGAATGCTCTATATGGATTGTTGTCATTATCCCCAACCTCGGCAATCTGATGAGGACAGATGACTTTATCGTCTATGAGACACGGTTAATGTTTCCTTTTTCCCGAAAACATCAGCTCCCAGTAGGGCTGGTCTTACAATGCGTCAATAGCCTCTCTGTGAGAGGTAATACAAGGATTGTGCTAATGTCGTCTGAAAGCTCGGCCAGCGGCTGGTTGGAATCATCGGAGATAGATGATTCTTTAGTGGGGGATCTCGAGCTGTCTCCAGCCATAGCCACCGAAGTTGATCCTGTGACACCGTCCGATAACCCTTCTGTTGCGGAAAACTGTTCTCTGGTCAAGGCTCTGTTGCTGACAGGTATACGTGCCCCTTTCCACTTTCCTCGACTAGCGATACCACAAAATCTGAACTGCTCTGGGTATCCTCCGCATACCAACCCTTTGGAGATACAGCGTTCACAGCTTGGTCGACCACGATCGCACTTGCGGCATTTTTCCCGGCACGTTAAGCATGCCGGACCTGCAGCAGTATGTGAGCAACAGTGGTAGATACCTCAAGAGGAAATCGCAGCTGGGTGCACTCATACCAGCTCGTGGCATTCTGCCGTCCGCTCATGGGCGTTCACCGTACGACAGTTCTTTCGCAGCTGTCCACGCGACACCAGTAGTTCAACGCGATGACATCACCCGTATAAGCCACAGAATCACATACGAGGTTCTAAGAATGATCACACAGTCTGTGATGGTGGTGTTCCTCATGTGGGTTCCCGCCTTCTTGTTTCACGAGGGACTGATGTTATCGGCCAAGTAGGCTGGGTGATTTACCCGATCAAGGTACTGGTGGGGCTGTGGGGTGATGACTAAGGACCTCTCGTGCACCCGCTCTCAATCACGACTGCTGAATAAGGCACTGCGAAATTTCTACTTATCCAGCCGTACATGCAGTTTGCATTTGCATCAACTTGTCTGGTCCAATGCAGTTCTGGGCGATTCAGCTTGCAATAGAAACTCGGATTGTACGGATATAAGCCCTCAGGATGTGGCAATTTTCAGGTGTCTCTACCGGGGGATCAGCGGCCGGATCCGGAAATAGCCTTGGTCGAATACGAACCGCAAACTGAAAAGGAACCATGACATTGAAGGTGTTCTAGAAACGCTAGTGAGAAGGGTGATGCAAAGATGTCACTAGCAGGATTAACAAACTCGGTCGATCACCCTAATGCATATGGAGCTTGCATTGCAGGGACCGGACATATGCACCCCGTGGGACGTCTTGCTTAAGTATGTAATCATGCTGATCACATCTGCTCGATATGCAGATTTTATATTATCGGTGGGATGAGCATTGCTGTATTCGTCTGACTTATGAGCTAATAAATTGGCATTATGCTCAGCTGAAGTCAAGATGATACTCATAAATGAGCGAGGCTGTAGAGCATACCAGTTAGAATTTACTACAGCAGACCCTAGCCAAATGAAGATCTCTCGATACTATGCATAGGCCATGTCAGTGTCTCTCAATTCCAGAAATACAATCATACAGCTGGGCCCGCCCCAGCTTGGAAGTTCTTGTCAATACTGTCCAAAGTGGACTGATGGGAAGTTCGGTTAAGCAGGTAGTAAGAGGTGGTGCACAACACGGCGTAGAGTCGAAGTAACCATCCAGGACTATTTGAACAGCAGGTGTGGATCAACCGAACATCCACACTATGGTCATGAGAGATTAAGGCCATTTTAGCCTCTCCTAGGCTCGTTGCAGGAAGGGCCGTGCTTGGCTCGACTTTGAGTTAGCTTCACCTGTACTAAACGAACAGGACTAATAGTAGGGTACCTAGCTGATTTGTTCTGCCGAAGTCGATCAATCAGCAGCCTCTTCCTTGAGTTCAGCAGGTTCATTAGAATTGCTTCGCAGAGTACCTATGGCTGTGTATACACAAGCCCAGATTTATACAGAGATCGTTGGTTGATACACTTGGTAGGCTCTCATACCAGCCTGCCATATTTTGGTTCAAGGTGTGGACAATATCCGAGATTTAAACAAAGTCTTACGTGGTTCCCGAAGCCCTTGTCAGTTTTCTGCAAGAATAATATATTGATTACCCTAATCTTTCTGCTGCCACTGGGTCGATCTAAGTATATCTCGTATCGAGCTCGACTTGACTGAATTGGGCACGGACTGAAAGCATTCATGATACAAGCATGCTAGACGATCGATAAATAGACCCTACTCTAGACAAGTGAAGTTGCTCAGGAGAGCCCTGGGACTTGCCGAAGGCCTGAGGGTAATTGGATGCTTTGTATCTTGGTGTTGGGATACGGTTTTCTGGGTTTGGTGCTGCCGGTCACAAAACATATTCCTTGCTACGCCGCCTGGGTCTTTCCCGGTCTGTTGCTTGGTTCTTCTACTATGATCAATGAGGTTGACCAGATACTGTAATAACAGTCTATGGTAGAAGTATGAGAGCTTACTATACTGTAACTTTGCTACTATATCTCAGTATGCGGAGTCTCTGATGCTAGGGGGCCGATGACGATTTCTACTGCCTCGGAAAGATCTTTGGAAGGTGTAAAAATAGATAACTCATGACTACATGGTCAAAGTTAGCCTTATTGGCGAGAGCTGGATGCTTGCTCAGGTATCCGCGCGTCTTTTAGAAGATCAAATTCTCTTGCTATTCGAGGATAGACGACCTGATTTTGTAAGGCCAAAGTGATCTGTATATTTTCTGACATGCAACGACCGTGTCATTTAGCAAACTCAGAGCATGATAAACCTGGTATCAGCTATGGACATCGGGCGTGAGTGATTTGTGCCTATACCTTTGGACAATCAGATATTCCAGTTTGGGTGTTGAGAGCCCGGCCTACCATTGCACCTTCGAGACAAAAGATTGTCCTACGGCGAGTACTCCGTACTGTGCTTGGCACTTGTGGATGGCTGCTGAACGAGGCTGACCGCGGAAGTTCTGCCTGAGGTTGCCACAGGATGCTTCTAGCTGACTGATCACATGACCAGGATCTGAGCTTCGTGAGCCCGGCTAAATGTCATCGACGCAATAGCTTCTAATCAATCCAGTTATCCTACAGCTCGCATCTAACGACTTTTGCTTCGTTGTGACTACACTGTCCCAGGAGACACATCACCCTCATATTCAGACTTCAACTTTCTGGTTCCGTTTTGAACATTCGCCATGGGAGACGTCGCCGTGGAGACTCCGGCGAACAACGTCACGCCTCACACCAAGGCAGCTCCATTGGACACCATCCCCAACATAGACTCGCTGGAGGGCACCGGAAACGACGGTGGTGATGAGTATGCAACTTTGAAGCGCTTACAGAGACACTTGGAGTACGTTCCGCAACTGCGTCGATGTCGCCTCAGCACGTATTGACCCTTGCTTAGGTACATCCAGCTCCAGGAGGAATACATCAAGGATGAACAAAGGTAAGGCACGCTTTTATCGCATACCAGTCACATAACTAATGATGAACAATTATACAGGAGCCTGAAGCGAGAGCTTGTGCGTGCACAGGAGGAGATTAAGCGGATACAGAGTGTTCCCTTGGTCATCGGCCAATTTATGGAAGCAATCGATCAGAAGTATGATACGCCAGCAATCAAAGAATAACAGTACTGACTCTTATTCAAATAGCACCGGTATCGTGCAGTCATCGACCGGCTCGAATTATGTCGTCCGCATCCTGTCTACCCTCGACCGCGAGAAACTCAAGCCTTCATCCTCGGTCGCCCTCCACCGTCACTCCAACGCCCTTGTTGATATCCTCCCCCCGGAGGCAGACTCCTCGATTGCTATGCTGGGCGAGAATGAGAAGCCAGATGTTACATATGCGGATGTTGGAGGTCTCGATATGCAAAAGCAGGAGATCAGGGAGGCGGTCGAACTGCCTCTGACGCACTTCGACCTCTACAAGCAGATCGGTTCGTCCTTCTTCTATTGATTAGACCCCATTCTCTGGCGCAGTCATAACCATGGGAATATCTCTCTGACGGAACCAGGTATTGATCCTCCTCGTGGTGTTCTTCTGTACGGTCCTCCTGGTACCGGTAAGACCATGCTTGTCAAGGCAGTGGCGAACAGCACAACCGCCAGCTTTATCCGTGTGAACGGTTCCGAATTCGTGCAAAAGTACCTCGGTGAAGGTCCTCGCATGGTCCGTGACGTCTTCAGAATGGCCCGGGAGAACTCCCCAGCCATCATTTTCATTGATGAGATTGATGCCATCGCCACCAAGCGTTTCGACGCCCAGACGGGTGCCGACCGTGAAGTTCAGCGTATCCTTCTGGAACTTTTGAACCAGATGGACGGTTTCGAGCAAACGAGCAACGTCAAGGTCATCATGGCGACCAACCGAGCGGACACTCTGGATCCTGCCTTGTTGCGTCCGGGTCGTCTGGACCGCAAGATTGAGTTCCCGTCCTTGCGCGACCGACGTGAGCGCCGGTTGATCTTCACCACAATAGCGTCCAAGATGTCCCTCTCCCCTGAGGTCGACTTGGACTCGTTGATTGTGCGCAACGAACCGCTTTCGGGTGCGGTTATCGCGGCTATTATGCAAGAGGCGGGTCTCCGCGCCGTTCGTAAGAACCGCTACAACATCATCCAGTCTGATTTGGAGGATGCCTATGCTGCTCAAGTGAAGACTGGACAGGAATCTGACAGGTGCGTATTTTCTTTCTTGCTGTATCTCTGTTTGGCTAATGACTAACCAACGCTAGACTCGAATTCTACCGGTAAATTAGGTATACAAGAAGCGCTGGGTTTGAGTTGGCCGTGTGTTTTGCAACAACAATTAGGCTGGGTCTCAGCTGTAATACTGTTAGGCATAACACATCAAGACAATGATTGACGTATCTAGAGATTGTTGACGTAGGCTGTCTGAGTATCTACTAATATTGTTATTACAGCAGAGTAGACAGTGTACAGCACAGCACCGCACTTAGAAGGGAGCTACCGGAGCTCCACGGCACCGTACCTGTCAGCTGCTCACCCGGACCAGCAAGGTCCCGGGCGCGGACTTACCAACGATACTCGGATACGGGTACTGTACAACAGGCAGCAGGCCAAGGCGGTCTTACATCATCACTCTAGCGGCAGATAGGCTGATAAGAAGCGGTAAACGGCGTTGGGGAAGAACAATCGTACGCCTTCCCCAACCACTATTGTTAACAATGGTGGTTTGACAATGAGATAAATGGTTGTAGTTGACTGCGTATCTTGGTAAAAGATGTTGAGTCAGAAGTACCGATGGAATTCCTGAAGATAAAACAATCAAACTTGAATTCAGGCACCGCAGCTCTGCTGGCGCTAATTACCTTAAACATGAGAGATAAACCCCGTGATTGAAGATCCCCTTGCCAATGACGCAGCCGGGGCAGCCAACCATTGGCTAGCCCGCAGCAGGACAGCCTGAGGCGGCGTGAGGTCGCTCCGCAACCAACCAGTCACTCGCATCATCGCCCATCCCCCCCGGACCGGGACCGTGACCGTGACCTCCTCTCTTCCTCGCCTCTCTCTCTCTCGTCTTCCTCCTCGGGTCCCTTTTCCTCCTCCCATCTCCCTCGATCTTGGTTCATTCATCATCGACATCTTTATTCATTCTCCTCACTCCCGTTCTTTTTCTACGTTCCGTTCCGTCCCGTTATTGTCTCTCTTTGAGTCGTTCCTTCAGGTGTCGCCGTCCATCATGAAGTCCGTCTCTTTGCTCACAGCATCTATGCTGTTGGGCTACACCTCCGCCGAAGTCCACAAGCTCAAGCTCAACAAGGTCTCCCTTGATGAGCAGCTGGTAAGTATTCCATCAAGGCAACTGTTGGCCTCTTAATCAGCTCAGCTCTATTCCAACTCGGAATCGCTGACCTTACTGAATGAAGTCTACTCACAACATTGATGCCCATGTTCGCGCGCTTGGTCAGAAGTACATGGGCATTCGCCCCAACATCCACAATGAACTACTCCAGGAAACCCCGATCAACGACCTGAGCCGTCACGATGTTCTTGTCGATAACTTCATGAACGCCCAGTGTAAGTTCCTATTCCATTAGTCTAGCTCTGTAGTCTTTCTCGAGTGAGTGGCTGCTTATCGTTTTCTGTAACAGACTTCTCTGAGATCGAGCTTGGTACCCCTCCCCAGACGTTCAAGGTTGTCTTGGACACTGGTAGCTCCAACCTTTGGGTGCCATCTTCGGAGTGTGGTTCCATTGCCTGCTACCTTCACAACAAGTATGACTCGTCTTCGTCTAGCACGTACAAGAAGAATGGAAGCGAGTTCGCTATCCGCTACGGCTCTGGCAGTCTCAGCGGCTTTGTTTCCCAGGACACTCTCACCATCGGTGACCTGACCATCAAGGAACAGGACTTTGCCGAGGCAACTCAGGAGCCTGGCCTAGCCTTCGCTTTCGGCCGGTTCGACGGCATTCTCGGATTGGGTTATGATACCATTTCCGTCAACAAGATCGTTCCTCCCTTCTACAACATGTTGAAGCAGGGACTTCTGGACGAGCCCGTCTTTGCTTTCTACCTTGGCGATGCCAACAAGGAGGGCGATAGCTCCGAGGCTACCTTTGGTGGTGTTGACAAGAGCCACTACACTGGCGAGCTGATCAAGATTCCCCTTCGCCGCAAGGCCTACTGGGAGGTCGACCTCGACTCCATTGCCCTCGGTGATGACGTTGCCGAGCTTGAGAACACTGGTGTCATCCTCGACACCGGTACTTCCCTCATTGCTCTCCCCTCCAGCCTTGCTGAGATGATGTAAGTTCCTCGGGTGAATTGTCCACGGAACTCATGCTAACAATTGCACAGCAACGCCCAGATTGGTGCCAAGAAGGGCTGGACTGGCCAGTACACCATTGACTGTGCCAAGCGCTCCTCTCTGCCCGATGTGACCTTTGCCCTGAGCGGCCACAACTTCACCATCAGTGCCTTTGACTACACCCTTGAGACCCAGGGCTCTTGCATCAGTGCCTTCATGGGCATGGACTTCCCTGAGCCTGTTGGTCCCCTGGCTATCCTGGGAGACTCTTTCCTGCGCAAGTGGTACAGCGTCTATGACCTTGGCAACAGTGCCGTTGGTCTCGCTAAGGCCAAGTAAACGATGGGTTCTCGAAGCGTCTTCTCGTGCTTTGTCCGCAAGATGAAGGGGATGATATCGCATATATTAGCTCGAACCCCTAGCGCGCAGTAATCATTGTTATTATGTTATGATTCAAGAAATGGGTCACATTCGAACCCAGTTGTTGCTTCCGTCCAGGCTCTTTTTTTTTTTGTTTTTCCACCGATCAATGTGTCCTGCCGTGACTAGTTTCGTAATCATCGTGTATGAATCTATACCAGTACAATGAAAGCACGATTAGATCGTGTTGAGAGATAGCATCTTACGGGAGAATTCGTTCGTCTTTGTTTGTGCAACAAATAATGATGATGGATGATGGATGATGACGAGGTCTGGGCCGGGAGCCGGTGGTTTTGACGGAAACCCGAGAGTCTCGCCCCCCCCCGCACAGGCCAATTCCAAGCGGCTGATGGACCGACGCTTGGCATTACCACAAACCACAACCACACCTTTGCTGTTGCTGCTGTAGTTGCTCCTGCTGCTCCTGCTTGCCGGAAAACTTGCTACTGCTCCTCTGGCGTTCTTCTTGCTCCATCTTCCCCCCCACCCACCAGACTTACTTCCTACTTCCCACTCTCGTGACCTCTCCTCTCCTACTTTCCCCTTCCACCTCCCCTCATGCAGCTTTCTTGTTCCTGATCGCATCCCCAATTACCACCCTCTTTCATCATCATTATCATCATCATTTCTCGTATTCTTGTCATAGATTACCCTTTTGACGCTCGTCTTGCTAGCCTTTCTCAACCGTGGTTTGTGTTTCGTCGCGTTCGATTCGCGTGGCGAGCCATTTGCGACCAGCTGATCCATAGAACTGACCGCGGTTGTCTTTCATTCAACCCCATCTTTTGACCATCACAGCTTCGGAGCCTTTTCTTTGTACTTTCGGGGTCGACCTTCTACCTGCCTACCCACCTACCTGAATAGTACATATAGTACCGATCCGAGCAATTATCGCCCCGTCGCGTCTCTGGATCACAACAGAACCCCAGCTTTCTCCGATCCTTCCCCTCCTGCCTCCATCTTTCTACAGCGGCTGCAGCGGTTACCGAAGGCGTTGTCTGGTTTTTGTTGCTGCTTCGGGCATGGCTTCCTAGTTCCTCGGCTCGATCTTTCTTCCATCGCGATTTCCTTGATCGTTTGTTTTACACACCACCCTTGCTTCCCTGGCTCCCATCATTCATGAGAAGGAGGGCAAAGAGGGTTGGTTGATTTCGCTACTGGACCAAGGATTGGTGTGGGCTACAATATAAATGCTTGTTCGGTTACCAGCCAGCCTTCACTACCCGATCACCGTAACGTCGTTGCTCAAACAGCCCGGCGATGCGGTGGAAAGGGAGGATGCGCTGTTCTGGTATGTCTACCAGACCACCGTCACCGAGGGTGACGGGCTGGGAAATAAAGTCGAGGTGAAGCGCAAATTTCCGACCAAATTTGAGTCACCCGTCGACGGCGAATTGGTTCAGTGGAGGATTGCAAAAGGGGATGTCATCAATGGGCCGTATGTCACCATGTGAACCGGGAACCTACCTTTCGAGGTTCGATTGCTATCTCATTTCGGGAGCCGAGACTGACTTCAGCTGCTTTGTTCCAGGGTCGATTTTATGGTGGTCGATGAACCATGTGCTCATGAGGTTCAGTTCGGGGGGCTTTGCGCAGAGTGTGGCAAGGATATGACTGCGTATGAATTTTAAGCGCACGTACAAGTTCGGCTTTAAACGGATTGCTAACGTCTGAGTGATAGATCCACCTACAACTCGGATTTTCAGGATGTTATGCGCGCGACGATCCCGGTGACCCACGAAAACACCGGTCTGACTGTGAGCGAGAGAGAGGCGACGCGGGTGGAAGAGGATGCCAAGCGCAGCTTGCTGTTGAATCGGAAACTGTCCCTTGTTGTCGATTTGGACCAGACGATCATCCAAGCAACCGTTGACCCCACCGTGCGGGAATGGATGGAAGATAAAGACAATCCAAACCACAAGGCTGTCAGCGATGTCCGCGTGTTTCAGCTGGTCGAAAATGACCCGGGAGCGCGTGGAGTATGGTACTATGTCAAATTGCGGCCCGGGCTGGAGTCTTTCCTGCACAACATCTCGGAGATGTTTGAGCTGCATATCTACACCATGGGTACTCGGTCCTATGCGCAACATATTGCTGCTATCATTGATCCCGATCGTAAGCTGTTTGGAGATCGCATTCTGAGTCGAGACGAGAGCGGCAGTCTCACAGCCAAGAATCTACACCGGTTGTTCCCTGTGGACACCAAGATGGTGGTCATCATCGATGACCGTGGGGACGTCTGGCGCTGGAGCCCCAATCTCATCAAGGTAGTGCCGTACGACTTCTTCGTCGGCATTGGAGATATCAACTCCAGCTTCCTGCCCAAAAAGCAGGAACTGGTTCCTCCAAGCGTACCGGGCGAGAAGTCTGCGGCAAAGGCAGTAAAAGCATTGCCCCATGAGCATAATGCTAATGGGGCTACAGCCAGAGCAGGGGATCAGCCGGAGATGTCAACATTGGAGCAGCTAGTGACGATGGGTGGAGGAGACGACCCTCGCCTACTGCAGGAACAGAGCGATGCACAAAATGAGACGATCATGCATCAAGTTGAAGACCGACCGTTGTTGCAGAAGCAGAAGGAACTGGATGCAGAGGAAGACGCCGCTGAAAGTAGTGATTCATCGAGTAGCATGGACGATTCGCCGGAGATGAACAAACACAGACATCTTCTTCTAGAGGATAACGACCGGGAGTTGTTCGATCTGGAGGTTCGTCTTGAGCAGGTACATCGCAACTTCTTCGACGAGTATGACCGGCGAAGGTCACGAGCGCTGGGAGGACGAGTAGCAGCTTTGCGGGGCGAGAAGACACCCTCAAAGGAGAAGGACGTCGACTTGAAGCTAGTTCCCGACGTCAAGGACATCATGCCGGCCATCAAACGCCGTGTTCTCAGCGGTGTTGTCTTGACTTTCACAGGAGTACTTCCTCTTGGCACAGATACGCACAACGCGGACATCTCCCTTTGGTCCAAGAGTTTTGGTGCGACTATCAGTACAAAGATCAGTTCCAGAGTCACCCATCTCGTGGCTGGACGGAACCGCACGGCTAAGGTTCGAGCTGCAACGCGGTACCCCAACATCAAAATCGTCAGGACGCATTGGTTGAGTGACTGCTTAACACAATGGAAGCGCTTAGACGAGAAGCCGTATCTCTTGCCTGTGCACCCAGATGATCGCGAGCCACCAATTTCGCCAGGCCAGGAAATGGAGAGTTCATGGCTGTCATCTGAGGAAGGAACGGGGATTGCTGGCACCGAGGAGGATGAGCCTGAAATGACGGCCGATATCTTGCAATCGTCTGGACTGACCGAGATATCGCCTATCGGGTATGACGCCGACCAACAAGCAGCCATCCATGAAGAATTGAAAGAGTTCTTGGGCAGTGACGACGAGAGCGAGAGTGACAGCGATGCCTCCTTCATGGAAGATGCACCCACAACGGCGCCCAGCAAAAAGCGGAAGCGTCCAGAGGATACCGAGGAAGAGGAGGACGAAGGAGGAGATGATGACGGAGACAGGGCGCAAGATGCCGGAGCCCCTCATGGCTCGCGACTCGCGCAGCGGATTCGGCGCGTGTATGAGCGGCCCGGCACCACCCTCTCCCAAGCAGTGTCCAGTGCAGCGAACTCGGAATCGCCCAGCAGTGAACCGGAGGAGCAGGCCGATGCGCCTTCGGGATCCCAACCAGCGGACACGATGCCGGCTCCGGAAGAAGAGGATGATGAGCTCGAACGGGAGATGATGGCGGCGTTTGAAGATGGCGATTACGACGCGACGGCCGAGGAGAAGATCGCGGCAGAGAACGGTTGACTTTAGTTAGCAGCTCTAGACGTTGTCTTTGTTCTGGGTGGATAGGCTAGCGTTCATACTACGCTGTTGTCATCGTTGATAGGAGCATTTTTGATTCGCGATCATGCTGGCAAGGCATAGCGAGGGCGTTTGTGCGCGGTTTCCGTCTACGCCGGAGTCAAATCTTTTATTGGGGGTGTGTGACATAAGACTCTGGTATCGGGTTTAGGTTTTTCGAATTTGAATGTGTATTTGAATTGAATCAGGTATCACCGTCAGATGTAGACTGAGGTGTATTTGTGGGAGATGCATTTATGCAAATATTTCGATTGGCAAGGGGGAAAGAAAGGCCAACTAAATAAATAAGGATACACATAAGGTAGATTGTTCATACATCAAAGCAGCCAATAAAGTCCAGTCATGCAATCATCTCACATCCATCACATCAAGATCCAAGTCATCCAATCATAAAAATCATCGGCTGGGTTTGCCACACATTCTCCTAACCCGTCCGCCTCGCTAAACTTATACTACCTAGCTATTTCGAAGAGAGAGAAATAAGAAAAGGTTCATCGATAGATATCCCGATGCACCTGCCACGACATGATCATCATCCAGGCATAGAAGATGGTATTGATCAATTCGAACGCAAACGCCGTTCGCCAGCAGTTACCTAAACCACAATCAAAATAGTTAGTCAGTCAGTCGCCCTTCGAAGTTTCCCCTTGGTCCGCAACATCACCACCAACAAAAAGAAAAACACACACACACACACACACACACACACACACACACACATCCAAATCACGAACAAGGGGCAGGGGACAGGGTAGCATACAGATGGTACTCTCGGTCAACCACGCCAAGGTCTGGAGATTATCGCCGGTGGGGTGGTCCTTGACGAGGATGTAGTTGCGGCAGTTGCTGTCGACGTTGGCGACGACCCCGTACATCTGCAGGCTGGTCTCGATCAACCCGGTCAGCCACAGGGCGAAGAGGATGAAGCTGCCCACGAGGATGATGCCGGGTAGGAGGAAGCGTTGGGCCGTCAGGACGTAGATTAGGATGATGAAGAAGAGGCCGAGCGCCGCGGTGACGGTCATGTAGGGGAAGAGCCTTTTTTTTTTTTCTTGGGTTAGTTTTCGTGATTGAGGGGTGAGCTGTGAGCTGGGGGGGGGGGGGACAAAGGGCTGCTCACCATGGTATATCCAGATGCAGCTCGTTCTGGACGGACATGAACCAGGCGAAGATGCCTAGACAGATGGCGTTGGCGGATAAGACGATGATCAGCCAGAGGTTGAGCTGGAGTTCGGGCCAGTGGTAGCGGCGGCGACGGTAGATGCGGACGCCGGCCATTGTTGGGGGGGCTTCGCCGGCAGGCGAGATTGGTTGTTCTTGTTGGTGGTGGTGGTGGTGGTGGTGGTGGTTGGTTTAATTAACAGGTGGATGGGCTTTGTTGGTCGTCGCGCAGACTAATAGTTAATAGTGGTAGGCTGGTAGGTTGGGGTAGGGTTGGTGGAGAATCGTGTTGATATATGAGTTGATGATGTTGTTGATATACATGCAGTACTGTACACCGTCGTCGTCGTCGTCGTCGTTTGCTGGAAGGTTAGGTTGGGTTGCGTTTGGCTGCATTCGAACAATACACAATTGCGAAGTTTGACCGTCTGGTATATGATGAAACACTTGAAGGTTATGCGATGGGTTGGTTATATTTAGCCCCGCGGTCGAATCCCTCCAGTAGTAGCGGACACGCTGACCGCTGCTCCGCTCTCAGCTCCACAGCTTCAGCTTCAGCTTCCAGATGACGATGACGATGATGATGTATGGTGTATACGGCTGGTGTATATTTCAAGGGCAGCAATAGGGCTGCGGGCCACCTCAGTCAGTCAGGCAGAAACCGCCCACATTCCCGTGCAGGGCATTCGATTCGATGGGGATTAGGGGGAATTGGGTCCAGACTCCGTGGTTGTCAGTGCATGGAACGTCGGTCTGGATAGGCGTCACCGAGTAGTCACGCTGTGGGATGATTGACGGGGAAGTGGACGGGTCAATTGGGCTGTGATGAGGAAGATGATGATGCTGGTGTTGTTGTTGATACGGAGTACTTGCTGCGCCGTTGGGCGGAGTGGGCCGGTAGCTTCAAGGTTGGGGATTGCAGCAGCAGCAGCAGCAGCAGCAGCAGTAATACAATTAACGAAACGCTCTGTTTCAAGACAGCCGAAGTGTCAAGAGACTAGCTCATTCTTTGGCGTCGGAACTGCAGAAAGGTTTTCATGAAAGCAAGAAATGAAGGACAGATCGGGTTTGATCGAAGCATGTGGAATTCGGGTGGCTGGAAATTCGGTGGCAGGGAATTTGGCGCTTAAACTGCTAACTGACGGTCCAGTGCGGAGAAACTCCATATACTCCATGTAAACAACAACAACACCAATCACAAACCAACACATACACAGACCAATACTTTAACAAAGTCATTATCATCGCATTTCATGTCAGTCTAACCTTTTCTCTATAGTATACAGAGACTATAATCTAAGTCAGATATAAGTCTTTCGTTCTACAAGAGGGTATCACCCAGAGCGCTGCGCACCAGCGAGCAGCCCGTGCGGATCGTGTCGCTGGCGCCTGCTTCCTCCAGACTGGGGTTGACTTCCACCAGATCCATCGCCACCAGGTTGCCGGTCTCGTGCACACACTCGGCGATGAAGTCTCCCTCGCGCAGAGTCAACCCACCGCGCACCGGGGTACCCGTGCTGGGCGCCCACTGGGGGTCCAGAGCATCGACGTCGAACGACAAGTGAATGGGAGTGTCGTTACCAACGTGCGCCAGCGCCATCTCCACCACGCGACCGATACCGTAACTGTGAATCCATGTCAGACAAAACCAACCATTACACCCAGAGGACAGAAGTCTTACCGGTCAACATCGTGCATGCTGAAGGCCTTGATGCCGTGCTCGCGCAGCAACTGCTTCTCGCCGCGGTCGACATCGCGCAGACCGATGTATACCAACTTGCGGGTGTTGACAATGTGCTCATCCTTCAACCAGCCGAAGATGTCGGGACGCTCCTCGCGGGCCAGGCGCGTCAGGAAGGCCATGGGCATGCCGTGGATGTTGCCGCTGGGGCTCATCTCGGGCACGTTGATGTCGGCGTGGGCATCCACCCAGATGACCGCCATCTCGCGGCCCAGACGCTCGCGGATGGCCTTGGCGGTGCCAGAGATGGTGCCGATGGCGATGGAGTGGTCCCCTCCCAGGGTCAGCACGAACTTGCCCTCCTTGGCGTGCTCGTAGACCTGGTTGCTCAGCGCCTCGGTGACCGCGCTCACCGCCCGGGGCTTCTTCATGCCGCGGTGGTCGGGGTCCTCGGTCGGCATCTTGTCCTCGTAGTAGTGGACCTTGTCGTCGTAGTGCAGCTCGTAGCCCAGGTCGTCGCGCAGTTGATCGAGGAGGCCGGCTTGGACGAGGGCCATTGGGGCAGCCTCGACACCCATCTTGCACTACATTCCGTAACAACGTTCTCGGTTAGTCTTGCTGTTGCTGTTGCTGTTGTTGTTGCTGCTGCGCCGCCCGCTAGACTCCGCGCAGATCGGCGGCGGCGGCGGGACTAGAGTGAGGGGAAACGTACCTGACCGCCATTGAAGCCAACAGCCACTACACCCAACTCGTTGGGCTTGGAGAGGAAGCGCTGACGGATAGTGGAGGGGGAAGTCATTGTGTATGTGAGAGAGGAGAAAGAGGAGGAGGAGGGAGATAAGCGTTGTAGGAGAAGGATGAGGGCAGGAGAGGGCGTGAAAAAGAAAGAAAAAAAGTTCTAGAAGAGCGGGACCCGCGCTGATGAGATAAGATCAAAATCAAGAATCGGGTGGGGAATCAACTGGAGCCGGGCAAGGAACGGGTGGACCACGGCAGCAACAACAACAACCACTTGCACGTTGCAACAAGAGACAGGGAGAGAGGAAGAAGAAGCGGAATGTTTATGAGAAAGGTTGCGGGGAGGTGAAGAACCGTGAGATGATGAAAAGGAAGTCAAAGAAGTCAACAAAGGCAGGGGTACCAGGGCCGTTTATAAAACCTGGCCAAACCTGGCCAAAGGGTGGTCGTGGGGCATTGTGATCGCTAAGACCTGCTTTTAGGGATCAGGACTTCCCCTAAGTACAGGTCGAGGAGAGATGCCCGCCTCGGCCTCTTTCCAACCCTCTCCACCCCCCTTTTTTATTAGCAATCGTTTTCGGACTCCGGTCATTCTCGGGCTGACAGAATACTATCTTACTGATAAGGACAGATCAGTCATGTTGGTGGTTAATTCGAACGGGTATCATCATTATCGTCGTCATGCACGAGCGGACTCAGCTCCGCGGGCTCAGCTCCGATCTAGGATCTAGTTTACTCTATGGTACATACGTACGTACTGTACTCGTACAACATCACTACTATACATACATCTATTTCGCTCCCTCCAGGATCAGTTCCCGCAAGACCGCATCAGCCTTGGGCGCCTCCACCCGCCCTTTTTCTCCCATGCGCATCATCTGTCCTACAAACCAACCCAGTTTGCCCAGTTGGTTCTTCTGTCGGATCTGCTCAACCATCGATGGGTTCAGTGCAATAGCTGCCTCCGCCAAAGCGATGTATTCCTCCCGCGACAAAGGCCGCAGCAACAGATTCTCTTCCTCTAGCAGCTGCGGGATCGAGCGCCGATCCCCGTCAAACACCAGAGCCAGCACCTGCTTGGCCGTGGGACCAGTGATGAGCTTCCGTTGAAGGTGGTCAAGCAGCGAGGCCAGAGAGTCGGCGGGGACGCACTGTGAGTCCCAAGGCAGTTCCGCCTTGGTCAAGAGACCGCCCAGCTCGTGCAGCACCCAATTACCTGCCAGGCGCGCCAGCGCCTGCTGCGTCTTCGAGTCCTTTTCCGGGTGCTGTTGGCGCAGGAGGTCCACGATATCCTGATAGTACTCTAGTCGAGCACCGTCGTCCAGCTCTACAAGTGGCTTTGCATCTTCAGTCGTCAGCCCGTATTCCGCTCCGGTCAACAGACTGAGAAGCGCATCGGAGCCTGTTGGGAGTGTCCGTCTGAGCTCCGCGATCAAATCCTCTCCAATATAGACCGGAGGGAGATCAGGGTCCGGCATATAGCGGTAGTCCACCTCTCCTTCCTTGCCACGCAATCTGCGCGTCTCAGTGCTGCCGATGGTCCAGCCACGGGTTTCACCTTCCACTACACCACCGCTCTCCAAGACAGCTATCTGGCGATTCTTTTCGGCGATAATGGCGTCCTCGACGGCTTTAAAGCTGCTAAGGTTTTTTATCTCCGTACGCTGTCCCAGACCTCCGATCCCGCCATACTGATGGTTGCCGGCAACGTCGCCCCGTTGACGGATGGAGACATTGACATCCGCCCGCAAACCACCCAATTCCATACCAGTTATAACCGCACTGCAGGATTGTAGGATCGACTGAATCTTTCGCACACAGGCCGCCGCGGTGGCCGGCGTGTGGATCTGAGGCATTGTAATAATCTCAATGAGCGGGTGGGAGACTCGGTTGAAATCGAGCAACTGCATCGAGGGAGGGTACTCCTGAGACTTGGCCGTATCCTGTTCCATCTGAATCTGCTTAATGCCGATGCGCACGTGGTCACCATCCTCCGGGGCGATTCCATCATGACGGAAAAGGTCCACATAGCCATTCTTCGCCAAGGGTTCTGCAGGGTATTAGTCTGCTGGCGGCAGATGCTGCAGCTTGCGTGACAGTCTTACCATAGTACTGCGTGATTTGATACCCGGCAGGCTGGTCTTGATAAAAGTAGTGCTTTCGATCGAATCTGCTGACTGGCTGGATGTCACAATTCAGAGCGATGGCGGCGCGCAGAGCGGGGAGGAGGGTTGCGACTTGGAATTCCTAATCAATCACCAAAATGTCAGTGGGTTGATGCGGTGAGCATGTGGTAGAGGAGTGGAACAGACCGGTTGACTGCCGGGAAAGGCGAGATCGAAGAGAGCTACATTGGAGTTGGGGAGTTCCGCCGATGAGGTCGGCGCTCCTATTCATGGCGAGGCTCAGTCGACTGTAAATCCTGGAGTTAATGAGCTCACTCACTGGAAAAGAGCTTGGCCTCGGTGTTCAGCTGCGCGTGGATCTCAATTCCCACTGTCAACTCCCATTTTTGGCGGGATGCTTCCTCGTCCTCGCGAGTCTGTCGTTTGCGCGCCCTGAGAGACTTGGCGTCCTGTTTGAGCTGCTTGCGCAGGGGAACTCGATCCGTTGACTCAGGGACTGCCGTGGTCTGAAGGGATCGTCGGGAAGAAGCGAGGGTGGAAGGGAGAAGAGATTGTTGAAGCTGTTGCTGCGGCGAGCGGCGGAGGAGATGAAGGCATTGCGGGCAAGTGAAGGAACGAGTGGCTCGCGGCCCTTGGCGCAGCCATGGTCGCAACATGGCGCTCTGGCAGAGAGTAGGAAAGAATAACTGTGTTGGTGTAGATAACTCGCTGGGCAGCCAGTGGCTAGAAATTAGATCTTAATGGAGCGATTGGCACAGTTAGTGGTTCTTTTAGTCGGAAGAAGATAGACGGAGCAACGACGATACACGATAACTATACAATACCGCGCGGGTATAATACGGTAAGGCCGACGGCGGTGGACAACTCACCGCTTAATTAACAATGCAGATTATTTTCCTTGGAATGAAGTCTTTCAATCCAGAGCTTCCGATTCGATGCACTGGACAAACTGGAGAAGAAAGTGTGTGTGTGTGTGAGGGAGAAACGCCTTGCTGCATGTCATGCTACATAATGCAGTGTCGGCTTCGCAGTGCAGTCGAGTTGAAACCCCACCAATACAGTTCCAGCTTTGCAGCAACACTTCATCACCATCCTCATCAACAACATCATCTTTGGGAGATGAACTGACATAGCTGGAGGGGGAGATAACACAGTCGAGGGGTCAACAAAGAAGGAGGGGTGTGTGTTCGTGGTTATCAGAGTAGGCTCAGCAACGAGTCTCCATCAGCCAGCGCAGCAGCAACCAAAGCAGTAGAAGTACTGTACTCCGTACTCCGTAGTTGAGATGAAATGCAATGCAGATGAACTGCTTCTTCCCCACACACCAAAAAAAAAACTACTTGCTAGTTTTCCCTTTTCTTCTTCCACACTCCCCTCTTCTCCTCCCTATAACCCCATCGTCTATTTCTGGTCCCACCAGCTTGTTATCTTTTTCTCTTCTTGTAAAAGCCATCTCTTTTACAAACGCCCTACTCTTCTCTGCCTTTGACGCCCCCCACTCAGCTCTATAAGCTGGAACCGCTGGGGTGGACGAATGAGAGTCTCCACAATCATCGCAAACATCCAACAATCGCCTACAACGCGGTCTGATTTGATCCCTCAACTGGGGTCGACGTGTTTAAGATCTGTCTCAGTTCGAGTGATTCCCTGTCACTTCCTGCCGACGGGGCGCATGCGCATTTATTGGGGTCTGGAACGCCTCGCTGACGGACCATTCCGCGCATCTACATCCATCTAGATATCCATTTCTTCTTGCTCTACTATCCTGTCACCTCAGAACTACAAAACCAGTCTCGATTGTCAGCGACTTGCTGAGCATATCTCTACCCAGGAAAGAATCAAACACTTATCATAGAAGCAGTGCTCTGCATACAGCTGTCTATCGATCCTCTACACATTCTGTGCTACATTCTCGAGTTTCCCCTCCGCCCGCCGCGTCGCCTGACTGGTTCTTGTGGCCCTCCCTTGATATGCCTCCATTGTTGCCCCCTCCCACCAAATTATCTCATTCTCAAGCCTGCTAGTTGTCTCACTTTCGGCTCCGGCTCTTCCATCGCATTGCCAAAGGGTATGGCTAGTGAATAAGAGGGCTTATCTTCCACTGCTCTCAGTCTCGCCTCAGTGCTCTTGTGGTCGCGCTTATTTACTTCCAACATGCCGCTGTATGGCTCGTCCAGTCGCTCTAAGAAGTCAAAGAAAGATGGTACCAGTAAATCATCCACGGCTTCTGTTCTTTCTGCTACTTCACGGTCCACAAAGGCCTCTAGGGCGTCTGTGGATCGGCCGCAAGTAGCATCTCAAGATCCATCTTTCGTCTCGAAGAACACCGCACCGAGCCCGGCAAACGTCTCGCGGACGCATACTTCTGCCAAGTCCGCCGAATCTGAGCGGACCGTTCCGAATGTTTTTGAATATCTAGACGAAGACGACTCCACATCAGAAGAGGAGTCCTCCGAGGATGACGACTTCAGATCGCGTCGAATGTCTTATCCTTCATCAACCAGCGCGCAATCGAAGACGGCATACGTAGGGTTAGGGCGTCAGAGCAAGTTGGGTGGACTTGGTGCGGATACACGCAGTCGAACATCGTCCACTATGTCCAAGGGTTCTATTGATTCCCAACCATTGCCGACTGCATTTGATATCGCTTCTGGTGTGCCGTCATTAGACAAGACCAAAAGCAAATTATCTTCTCAGAATAAGAAGTCCCACAACATCCCCGCCGGCATATCTGCAGGCTCGAGTTCGCCTGAGAAACGGAGCTTAGAGCTCAGTCCCCGACCCGATGCCTTCTATTCGCATCATTCAGCCAGCCAACACCAGCCGCCTTTACCACCATCGCCGCCACGGAGCCCGGAGGAAGATTCTCAACGACCCAATTACAAACGCAGTCGTAGCACGAAGGCATCACCACCTCCCTCAGGCTACGGTCTTCTCGCCTGGCGCCTGAGCTCATCCACTGACAACCAGGAGCTCCGTCTCCCACCGCTCTATCGCCGGTTCGAAGATGTAAACCATCGGGTGCTTCTACATCTCCAGGACGAAATTGCACAGATGGAGGAAGACCTTCGTGTCCTAGACGAGTACGATCAAATGCATCGGGCGGCTACGGCCGAACAACAGGGTACCACGATTCTCCCAGCTTCGCGACGCATGGACGTCCAGGCACAGGTTTACTCTTCCCTGCATTACCGCAAGGAAGAGCTGCTGGGCGCACTGGCCCAGAAAACCGAACAATATAGTAAGTCACAGCAGACAACATCATAGTTCTCACCTCAGGAGACACTAATCGTATTCCACAGATAATGCGCTCAGCGCATACAGCCGAGTTCTGCAAACTCTCCCACCCGCTTCAAACAAGGATATAGGAACCTACCGCACCTGGATGAACGAACGTAACCCCATTATTGCCGCAGAGACGCGCTTTCTTGACCAAACCAAGGATCTGGTTTCTCTTGCCCCTCGCATGATCTCAGCTTCCCCCGCCCGATCCGTGTACGCTGCAATCATCATCGCCTCTGCAGCCGTTATCCTCCCTCTGCTCACTTTCAGCATGATTGCTGAATTTTCCGGCCGTCTTCTGGTGGTTGCCGTTGTGGGCGGCGCGGCTGCCGCCGTTGCCTCCACTCAATCCACGGGAGCAGACCAACTCGTCGGCTCCCAGGATGGATGGCGATGCGCTTCATTGTATGTTTTCTTATACATTCCATGTTGAATCGCTACTGGATCTATCGTGCTAACTTACGATCTAAGATACTTTGGTTTCATGGCTATAGCAGCTCTATTTATTCCATAGTTCCGACAGAAACAGACATCTGGGTGTATATCCACCAGCTTTTACCATATTCTAATGACTTAACGAATCTTCTTGAGGCAGCGTGCTCTACTGACATCTTGAACCGATTCTGCTTGCAAGTATATTTTCTTGCTTGGATTTGGCACAAACTGCATTGATGTTGCTGTTGATGCTTGATACATCAAAGACTCACGCTTGAAAGAGCTCTTCGCCCGTGTTAAGCTTGTCACCAAACATCATGGCGAGGGTATTATTCCAGTCTTCTGGGTCCCTGATTCGATATTTTTTTGTTGGCTTTAGCGCCTGGACTAGATACTTTGTACTCACAGTAAATGATTAAGATGATGTATAGATTTTTTTTTCTGATCTCGCAAAAGGATAGTGAATAGTGCTGGTCAGTAGATCTATGCACTAATTGCAAGTCAGGGTTCACCAGATCCCTGCCAGTGAAGCATCATAACCCATATGGGTGAGAGCTGGGGCAAGCAGGCGATTGACAATTGTCATGTGTCTGCACAGAGTGAATTATACTGATTTGAGTGACAGCACAGACATCCTAAAATATCCCCACAACTTATCTTCCTGATTTATCTAATATCCAGACTGCCATCCATCACCTCTCTGTTCTCTGCCAGGCATTAATCATTCTTTCACCCTTGCGTGTTACTACTGCCTCAAATACAACGCCCAATCGAGCTCCCCACACATCAAACCCCCCAATCCCCAACAACCCCTTTGCACCACAAAAATCTCAAGGAATCATGGCCCGCACAAAATCAAAGAAGAAAATGCAGAACAACGTGGAGGCCTGCTCCAAATTCAAGCCCAAGCCCAACAATGACGCTCAGGGTATAAACGGGTCTGCCTTGGGGAAGCGTCTCTATCGAGATGCTCCAAGTGACGATGACGATGACGATGACAAGAAATCAGCCACCCTTACCCTGAAGGGCAAACACAAGCGCGCGAGACTCCTCGAGAAGAAGGGACCCCCAGCCGCGATCGTTGTCTCTGCCCCCGAACTACAAATCCGCGTGGCCTTCACCTTCGCCGAGTTATGTGCTGCTGCGGCTGATGATACCCCGGACGCTGCTGACCACGCGCAGTTCGACAGGTTCCTGGCCAAGGTGCATGAGACAGCCGAGGGCTTCACAGAGGAGGACTACTGCATCTACTGGGAGTACGGGGACGGGGGCGCGCGGACCAAGTACAAGGTGACGAACCCCAGCTCGTGGCGGGCCGCTATGCTGGAGATGCGGGATGGTGGTTGCTTTACTATTGAGCCGAAGTTGAAGCAGGAGGCGAGTATGCTATTGGGTTCTTTACTATATCTCTCTTTCTCTCTCTCTCTCTCTCTCTCTCTCTCTCTCTCTCTCTCTCTGTGTGTGTGTGTGTGTGTGTGTGTGTGTTGGTAACATGGTGTGAGAACTATCTGGCTGACGTGACTTCCCACAAGGAGCGCCGTTTCTAGCTCACCGGCAGGCAAAGACAGAGAACGATAGTATTATCCATCGCCTGATGATTCGCAATGATGAACAACCTTCTCTAAGAACCTTTCAGTGTGGGAATCTTGGGGCAGCTTTACTTCCATTCGCGAAGAGAGCTCGTGTCGCCGGGTCGGTTCCTGATTTGTATGGCTCTGATCATTCGATTGGTTCATGCTCCCCAGTCCAGGGCTCCTCCAACGATGGGCAGATGATCAATTGGGACAGAACCGCAGCTCTTGCAAATAGGGAGGTATAACTCAGGATGCAGAGGTCCAGAATGGGGGTTTGAATCTGGTTTAGGACGTGGGTGGCGAATATGTGGGAGGTTAGGAGAGATACAATGTATTCGCTGTTTGACGTTTGTCTTTTTTCTTCGCCTCGAGGACGGATCAATTCTATGCTTTTCTTAAGGAACCTCTCAATTTGTTTTAGGAGAGCTGATAAGAAGAAGAATTTCTATCATTCGTGAATGCTCCCGAGTAGTAGTAAGGTGCTCACGTGTTGTGTTGTTCTAATGGATCGCCGTAGGTCCAGCTCTATCTGGCTAGTAGTATCTTCTCCATCTTCAGCTTCTCCATCTCTTCCAACTGCACCACTCATCTAAAGATAAGACAACATATGAGGTCTAGCAGCCTTAATATTCCTTCAGCTCTCCACATGGGAAGTTACAATCTGATCGTCGACCGTTTTACTGCAATTGGTTCATGTTCCCAGGCTAAAGATGTCGAGCATCTTAGCGCATCCTTTAGGCAGAGTAACTGGAGTCTAGTCATGACGGGCGCTGCCGAATCAATTAGGCTCACGCTGCTCGACTAAATCAATCGTCTGTTTCTAGCACTCGAGACTCTCCCACTCCACGAACTTCTCTTTTGCTCTCCGTCTCCTTAGAGCCAAAGATGCCCGCCGTATCGAACCCAACAGATGGAGTACCCGCTGCCCGACGGCGCATAGCCCAAACCAAGAGATCTCGAGCAGGCTGTCGCACTTGCCGGTAAGCTCGAACATACCAGCCACAGCCCCGTCCGATCGTACGCTAAAATTATCACGATCGGTCCGTCAGCCTCCGCAAAGTCAAATGTGATGAAACTCCTGGGGCTTGTCAACGATGCGTGTCGACCGGCCGGGTTTGCGAAGGCTATGATATGCACCGGTTGCCGGTGGCCACGGGCAGCAAGACCATCGGCGCTGTAACGCCGCGCCTCCCAGCGTCAATCTCCAGCAACCTATTCAGAGCAATGACATCGGACGAGCGAAGATGCTTCTCCTACTTCCAGAACCGCGAGATCCCCGCAAACCTCATGTTCTTTGATTCATCCCTCTGGAAGCGGCTCGTGCTGCAGATGGCCCAGGCGGAACCCGCCGTATATCATGCCATGGTCGCTTTGAGTGCCGTGCACATGGATACGGAGATTAAGGATGTCTTAGTGTTACATCCCGAGGTATCGCCGGACAGTGCCTTACATCTCTTTGCCCTCGAGCAATTGGGACGCTCTTACGTCGTGCTGCAGCAGCGCTGCAGCTCCCAGGACCCGCAGATCCTCCAGGTCACGTTAGTGACCTGCTTGCTGTACACCCTGTTTGACATGATCCAGGGCCAGTACGAGACGGCGTTCACGCACATGCAGAACGGCGTGCGGATCCTCAAGGATCTGGGTCCCTTCAAGCGCCAGCAGGACCCCTTCACGGCGAATGACCTCCCGGTGGAGGGATGCCTGGTCGCGGGCTTCGCCTTCCTCGACATCGGCTTCATCCACTTCGACTTCGACGGACCACCGCGCGTGCACCTCAACGAGGGGCAAGACTTCGAGCGGACCGCCCTCGCCCGGCAGGGGTACATCAGCAGCCTGCAAGAAGGACGGCAGGCGTACAACATCATCGCCAGCGCGCTCTTCCACTTCCTCCCGCAAGCTTGGCACCTCTCGGACGCCGAGATCGCCGCCCAGTACCACCGCCTCCAGCCGCAGCAGATCATCCTCCTCTCGCAGACCGGCCGCATGCTACGGATCTTCGAGGCCTACGCCGCGCGGTCGGCCGGCCGTCTGCCCGCGCCCGAGCAACAAAGCCTGGACATCCTCCTCTACCACATCCACGCCTTCCTCCTGGGCCTCAAGATCTGCCTCGTGGGCAGCAACCACGCCGCCCGCGCCGCCTACACGGCGGACTTCGCCGCGTTGCTCGCCGAAACCGAAGCCCTCATGGCCCGCGTCCCCGACCAGCCCAGCGTCACGCTCGACCTCGGCGTCCTCCCGCCCCTCCACCTCATCTCCACCTTCTGCCCGGATTACCGCCTGCGGCTGCAGGCCTTCCGCCTCCTGCAGACCTGGCCGCACCGCGAGGGCCCCTTCGATTCCGACCTGACCGTCGGCCTGGCCATGGAGCGCATGCGCAAGGAGTTGACGCTCATGCACGCCACCGACTACGCCCACTCGGGCTATTACTACAGCAACAATAGCAGCAGTAGCGGCAGCAGCGGCGGCGGCGGCAGCAACTACGATGGTGAATCCAGCGGTACGTCGACGCCGCCGCCCGGCGAGAAACCACTGACCCCCGCGGAGATCGAGGAGCTTCTTGCTGCTCTCTCCGGGGAGGTGCACCGCTTCTTCGATACGGTGGATGCGCCAGCTGTCGCGGCGCGGTGGGCTTGCTTCCGGGTCTTCATGGAGAGTGACCAGACGGCCATGAACAATATCGGGTGTGCGGTCGCTGTCGATCACCCCCTCCAGGCGGAGTTAGCGGGCTGATTGTTTTGTATGTAAATTTGTGTGTGTGGGTTTACGAACACATGAAAATGGGTGAATAATACAATTTTTTATGGGGAAGCTAACCAGCCTGTCATTGTAGGAACAAAAGTCCACTTTCCAGATGCAGAATGAGCGGATTTCAGGCTGGAACCGGATTATCCTGACTTTAGAAACGAATATTGGAAGGCTCAATACTTAGAAGGTATGATATTCTCGTTGGGGGTTTACATTAGTTAGCTCGGATAAAGTAGTCTCAGAAAAAAATTGCCGAGTCGCAGTCAAAAGTACTGAGGGGAATTTGATAAGGAAGACACTGTAGAAAAAGAAAAAGAGAAAAAAAAAAAAGTGAATCCACAGTCAGACAGCCATCCTGTAACATATACGAGGTTGTTTTCTCAGGCATTGCCCCCTATCTCTTGTTCTCCGCGAAATCTAAAAATAAGCCGCGAGGGGGAAAATGGAAATAGTTCCAGAAAAAAAGAGGAAGCAGCGAAAAAAAACTCCAGAGAATTGAAGATAGAAGAGAAATAGAAAGGTAATTATCATCTTCGCTGCGTCCATAAAGTGAAGGTCTTTTCAAAGGACATGATACCTCCAAGATAAAACGAGTTGTACATTGGGTTGCGGGTGCTGGTTCTCTTTGCCTAACATGCCGGGTGTAGAGCAAGCCACGTGCAATGTTGGGGGGCTAGCTGCGTGAAAGGGGATGATACAACAACATTGCCACATGATTCTTCGTTCCCGTCACCAAGATCTCATCTACTCATGAGGACACCGGGGTTCCGTTCGGCTTCGGGGTCGTCGTTTCGCCTGACGGCTGGGGTGTTGTGGAGCTGGGCCGGTTTTGCGCATTGGCCGCCAGCTGGGCCTTGTTCCGATCCATCACAACAGCCTGCTCAGCAGCACTCCGCGCGTAGGTGGCCGCAGCAGCTGAGTTCGAATAACCCCCTGCTTGTGGCGGGGCCTGGTTAGACGCGTTGTTGCCGTGATGAGGTGGCTGTTGCTGTTGTGGTTGCGGCGGCTGTTGTGGTTGCTGCTGATGTAGCTGCGGTTGTGACGGCTGCGGCTGTTGCTGCTGCGGGATGTATCGCTGTGGTGCTTGCTGGGGATTTGTCGGCCCCGGAGGTATACTGTATGAGGCTCTTGGGGTTGCGCTAGGCGTCGTATAAGGGGGTTTTTGAGGAGATGCGCTCCGGCCTGCTGCCTGGGCTGCGTGGTAAGATCCAGGCTGTCCCGGCCGCGGACTGTAAGGTTGGGGGGATGCCTGAGCGGGAGGTGGACCCTGTTGTCCTGCGTATGGATGGTAGCCGTTCTGCCCTGGGCGTTGCTGATACGGTGTGCTGGGGTTGCCTTGGTTGAATTGCGGTGCCGGTTGGGAGTAGCCGGGATAATAGCCAGCCCTTTGCTGAGGAGTTGCTGGCGGGCGGCCTCCCGCATACTGCTGCGGTGATGCTGCAGTATACGGAGCAGATGTAGAGTTCTGCCTTCCTGCAAAGTAGGGTTGAGCTGTTTGTATGTTGCCTTGAGGTTGAGCCCGTGTATTAGCGCCATACGCTCGTTGGTTGTACTGGGACTGGTAGCTGGCAGCTCGGCTAGGTGTGGAAGTTCGATTTGCAGGAATAGCAGACGCGCGCTCCTGCTGCATGGTATAGTCATCCTTCTCCATCGTGCCTTGATAATCCACACCCTCAATCAAAATCTTCTGGCTGATATTGAGATCAGCTAATTGGTCGCCGTCCAACTTGGCAACAGCATATGGTGGGAGAGTCGAGACCAGCGCTGCTAGACTCGATTTAAGTGTCTCGTAAACGCTTCGCTCCTCGTCCGATGGCGCGTCGTTCGATCCAGGTCTTGAAGTAACATCGATGGGATCTATCCCATGGATCGCACCACTCGCGGGTACCAGGCTGCGGATCTTTTGATACGAACTGAGGGTTTCGAGAAGCTCGGAGACATCACGCAGTAGGTCATCCATCTCCCGAGAGTCTTCGTCAACAAATTCAGCCGAGGCCTCCTTGGTCTGGGTGATGTTGTCAGTCAAGTCCTCTGGGTTGAATGATTTCACCATTTCCTCTAGAGCGCTCTCATCGAGCTCGCCTATGTTGCCCGGCTGCACGGTTGATACGTCATTCTCATCTTCTGGGATTGCCATCGAGGCAAGTGTGTACAGGCGTCTAGCTCCACGCTTACTCCACCATACCAGGTCTTTCGAGTCGGCTTGAACAACAGAACCCGAACTATCGAATGATGGGGCAAAGGAAGAATACACTCCTTGCCAGAGCGCGACATCTTCGTCTGTGGATGGCATCGGGTCATCGGGAAGCTGTTCGTCCTCGTGGTGCTCTGAAGACTGCTGCTTCTGGCGACGACTCCAGTAGGAGGGTGATGAAGTGACCCCACCGTACTGCAGCCAAGAGCCAGCAGGAAGTCTTGCAAGACAATAGTTGTTGCGGTCACCCAGAAATGATTTGTAATTCGTGATGGATTCGAAAGGGTCAATCCAGCCACCCGAAACATTACGAGTAGTCCCCGTTTTGCGCGGTGCTTCTAATTGAGGCAACGTTGCACGTGGTGCGAATACCTCCCCAAAGGTTCTTTTGGGTTGGTTTGATTTCGCTTCCAAAGTGATGGGTACCACCTTTGTGGCTGTGATCCCGTTGGGAAGGCCGCCCTCAGGCAAGGGCGCCTGCACCTCGACGTACTTGTCTGCGCTTGGACCATCTGATTGTAATGGGACCTTGACTGTCTTCTGTAGACTGGAGTAGAGCTGTTTCGGGTTTGCCGGATTTCCAAACAAGGTCAGAACCGCACTTTCATTTCGGATTTCAACGTTGGACGCAGTGGTTTTGATCGGGGCTTCACCGTCCTCTGATGCTTCGGTTTTAACGGTGGTCTGGGTCATCTGTGCTTGACGAACCAAACTATTCAGTAGCTTCTTGAAAGCCGCAATGCGATTGACGGTTTCCGTAAGTGGGGTTCCGTCAGCAGGAGCGGCAGTCGCCTGCGCTTTGTTTCTCTCGATCACTGCTGCAGAGGCCCTTTCGATGTCGCTTAAGAATTCCGAGATGGTGTTATAGCGATCCGACGCGACCCGAGCTTGTATACTCGAGCTTTCATCCTTATCCCCCGAGACCTTTGCGCGCTTCGAACGGGGCTTCGCCGGCGACGATGGCAACGGACAGGACAGAAGATGTAAATCCGAATCGTTTCTGAATGAAGGTAAATAATCAGTCACCTCTCTTTAGTTATCACCAAGTAGGCTAAGCGCTCACTTGCTCAGAATATCCACCAGGTTTCGCAAAGTTTCCTGCAGTTTGGCTCGTTCCTGCGAGTGCGCCGCAGCGGCAGTGGCATCCTGGGCGGCCTTGTCGTCGTGACTCGACACACGCTTTCGCTTGCCCGGTGTGGCCATCGTGGATGGCTCAGGACTGTTGCGAGATTGTTCGCCATTTGTGACAGGCACTGCGGCCGTCCCGCCGCCTTCATCGGCACTCATGATGGTTCAGTCGCGCCGCCGATCAAGTATTTTCTTGGGACGGGGATATAGAGGATCGGGGCAGTTTCCCTTAAAGTTGTTTGTTTGTTTGTTTGTCTTTATCTTCTCTTGGTTCTTGCTCACTTTGAAAAAAATGTTAAATGTGAGAGGACACGGGATAATTCAAGCGCAAGAGTGAACTTCTGATCCCTTGACCGAATTGAGTCGAAGACGAGCGTCGAGTGAAGAGAAAAATGGAGGAAATGGGGAGTTAATGAGTCGGTGATCGAGCGATTCAGAGTCCCCGAGGTGGATGCGCCAATGGAGATTGACTCAACCGATTTAAGGAATAGTGCGCAAGCAGGGGAGGATCGGGACAGTACTCGACGCATATGCCCGCGCTACCGCGTAAGGTAAATTGAACCAAAGTGGGTGTAGGGGATTTTCGGCGCCAGTACGGTACAAACTGCAGACGGGAAGAGTGGATGGTGGTTTAGCTTGGCAAAAAAAAACAAAGAAGAGGAGCACGGCTGCCAGAATCAAAGGATGAACTCTGGCTCCATTGAGGGAGAGAGTAACAGAGGAGCAATAGAAAGACGGAACAGATAGAACGACGGACGGACGGACCGACAGAAAGTGAGTGAGTGAGTGAGGAAGAGAGAGAGCTGAGAGGGAGAGGGAGAGCGAAAGCGAGTCTCCGCCCGCCGCCCTCGGGACTTGCGCGTGACAGAGACAGTATTCATCACGTGATATTGGTATTTTTCCCCAATGGGATCTCCATCCATGCGCTCTAACGCTCAACCATCACCTTCGCCCTCACCCAAACGCAAACAAACCGACACTTGTTTATTAACTACTACCGCTATAGCTCAACTCGATGACCTTTCTTCATGGATGTCATCGGTCGTCAATTATGTGTCGAGCTGCTCGAGGGCTTTCTCTCTGAGAGCGGCGCAATTGTCCAACAGCTGTACATCACCAAAGGTACCAAACAACTGAAGAGGAAAATTCCGTGACCTGTGCTGAAGCTTTTCCCTCTATAGGCGCCATACTATAATGGCTACTGCTATACCTTATCCCCTTCCAACCCAACAGTGGCCGACCCCATCACAAGATTTGGTTTATCGTTTCGGTACATACACACACACCGCAAGCTCGAATCTGCACCCGATGCATCCGCTCGAAGCTCCCAACCAGTGCCTCAAGAACCGGGCACTCCTTTGCCATGGCTGACCGCTCAGTATTGGAGGAAACTACGTCTTCAGTCATCCTTAAATAAAGCTTTCGTTGATCGGCGTGCGGATGAGGAGCGGGCCAACACCGGCTCCTCCAACTCGACCTTCGCAAGCGATGCAAAAAACGGGGAAACCACAGATGGAGCTCAGCGCTCGCAAAGAGGAGCATCGGGTATACAGTTAGATGATTTTTGTGATGATTATGGGTACGACGCACCAGGTCAGACTGGGACCGAATCCACACTGCGGTCGACGCCTCTCTCTTCTGCGAATCGTGATGGACTGGACATCGACCGGCCAGACCCGGTCCAAAACTCGACTACAAATACTAGAGCAAACCCGCAAAGACAGGCCAAACGCCTGAAACGTTCCAATCCGTGGGGTTATGCGCCTGATCTCACTTCTACAGAGTATTTAATCCTCTCGATCCATATGGCACACGACCCAGAGAATCGTCATTGGGCTTGTGAAGAAATTGATGATTTCCAGCTTAAATACAGCCAGGCGGCTATGGACCACTATAAAGGTTTCCACCGCATAACATTACAGGAGATTGTCGCAGACTACATACGGGCAGTGAATCCCCAACTGGACCGATTTGGCGTACAATGCAAGGAACTCTTGGATCCTAGTCCGCAGCACTTCTCACAGTACTCTATAAAGCTCAGGTGCCTACATGAGGACATGGAGCGTGTTTTTTCCGAAGCCAATATTGAGAAACTGTCCTCACGAGGATATGCTGCCGCCGATGTGGTGACGTGGGCCTGGGTGCTTAATAGCGAAACGCCATATGAAGCTTGTCTTCGAATTTTACTAGCGGATACCGATCAATATTCAGCGCAAAGCTCTCCGTCCGGGAGAGTCCCGCCATTCATTCCGCTACTCATTCTACGCCAGGGTCTCGACGTCAGAACTTTCAGACTACTCCTTCATTACTCTCTAGACCTTCTAACCGGTCAATATGTTCGACTCCCAAATAACCTCGCGCAGGACACAACGACCAAACGAATCTCCAATGAGAAAATCGCATTCGGTACAACAAAGCCCCTGATCAATTTTGAAATGTGCTCAACCTTCGTTATTCGCTTGCTACACCATGCTCGTCAACTGTGGCCGGAGGCCCAACTTGCCATAATCCAGGCTTTTGCGTTCTATTTGAATACGCTGGAGAAGAGTCGCCCAAAATATCAGCGGTCCCAGGATAAACTACATGCGCTATTGGTCGACAGGTGTAATACAATACTTCGCTTACTTTCTCTTCCTTCTCGACGTGAGCCATTTTTATCTGTTTCGTTCCAGCAGCGTGCACAGCTTGAGCTTCTCCGAGCTATGGCTGCATTTCAGCCGGCCATACCGGTCACGAAACGGGGCTATCAAAGTCTGGTCGCCGTACAGCTTGCGCATAGGAAGACAGACGCCGAGCGCCAATCAGCGGAACTCAAGGCCCCGTCGTGGCCGCCTTGGAAGGAAGACAAGATAGGGTACGACGTCGACCGGGGACTCCAAGGCAGGAAAAGTCGCGCGATGCGAGTGCTGGTCCAAAAGCTAGAGGCGGGATATACTTCCTCTGCATGGGATAATATGTCTCGTATCCTAGCAGGCTGGGACACAGACGGAAGCCCAACGATTCAAACCCGGTCCTTTGGGCTGTCTCGACCGGAAATCTTAGGCCGGTTCCCAGCCCACTCCGACCATTATAAGCTTTGGGAAGCACGAATTCGTGCTACAAGAACTGTCCGGGAAGCCTGGGCCTGTTTTCTCTCATATCAGGAAAAGGGGTTGCGTCCCCATGGTGCCATATACGCAGCGATGGCGGAAAAGTTGATAAATCGCGACCGAAACAGTAGCAGCGACTACAATAGCACGGCTCTGCCAGGCGATGGAATCGAAGTTTTCCCGGAACCTTTGTCCGCCAGGGACTTGATCTATGTGCCCTCCGAACCACCAACCTTGAACCATCTTCTGCATATGATGCTCTCTCAGAGTATTCGGCCACGTGGTCGGTTTCTCGCCTTGCTTCTACGACATGCACCAACTTTTCATGCCGGGCTAGAGTATCTTTGTTGCAGCAATTTGACGGATGAGCAGCTGGGGGCTTTGTGTACTGATTGGGGAAGCGACTTCCGTCATCCCAGTTGGCTTAAGACGGGACTGAACGAGCTGTCGGATTTCCTTGTCGCTTCGTTCGTCAAATTCCTCTGCAGATTTGGCAATAAAACTTATTTAGTGCTGCTACAGCCTACCTTGCCTCCTCCAGATCTATTCCCCTTGCAGCTGGAAGGAAAAAGGACGCTGGAGCCACTAGTGCATCAGATGAGAGAAGAGCGCCCCCTTCCCTCTGGCGGTCATCGCAGGGCGCTGCCTCATGTTATTGACCTTTTACGGGCGCGGGCGTCACAGCCGGCACAAGCGTGGATCTATATCTTGTCTGCCGTGATCGAACGCAGCCCGCATAGATCCAAGGCTTATGCTAAGCCGGTGGTTGCTTGGTTTAATGCTCAGCTGCTCATGAGATGGATGGACCAACGTCAGATCGACACTGGTCTGGATGGATTTAATCTACTCTGTCAGGCATTCTTACGCGTCTTGATGGTTCTGAAATACCGTACTGCTGTGGGACAGGGGTTGGAGATTGTTAGCAGGATGGCATTATCAGGTCAACTCAGTCTGCATGGTCTTGTCCTACCACGACCTGAAGATGTGGTACCAACGGGCCTCAATTTTCTGAAGCAACAATTTGACAAGTGCGTTCTCGGGGACCCGCAGCTTTCCCAGATTTTCGAACACAGTTCCTCGTCAATTCAGCTTGCCACCAACTCACAGGTGACTTTGCCGCCGTTGTTTCATGTTCCTTCTCCTGCGGTTCTCCATCTCTTTGTCCGCACACTTGGGATTGCTGAAGACTCGGATGGATTGCTAAGCCTCTTGCGATGGATGAAGCAGCACGAACTCACTTTGAAGGAGAAGTATGACCAGCTTCTCAATGGAGATCGGATGATGCGCCGGGTCATAGTAGCCTTTCGAGTGTTCTTGGAAGGATCTAGGAAGGAACGGCGCACCTCGGAGCAACGGGGAGATGGTGATCACATCAGTTTCACGAGGTTGGAATCTTCAGACTCACAACTGCAGGAGGCCTATGAAATTATTACTTCTTCGCGGGTTTGGGGTTCCTGGCCGACTGATGATGAGTTCAAGAAGTACTTAGCGCAGTGAGTGTGACAGCACGGGAGGCGCATGGTGAGGACGCATCGCTGCAGGTCGGGGATCAGTATACCAGCGCTATTCATTTCTAATGTAAATTACCCTTTTTGAATATAGCTAGACTTCTATGTGACTATTTCTAGAGACTACATCGGACAAACAAATAATGTACTGTACTTTCCAGTAAAAGAAGAATAAAAATCAAAATCAAGCGCTTATTCGCGGTTCCCCGCAATTTCCGTTTGCCGATTTCCCCACAGCTTCCCGTCCTTCTCCAACAACTTTCCGTCCATCTTCAACCCTTCCATCATCCTCGCATGAAATCCTCCAGAGTTTACCACCTTGATATCTCAGTTCGGCGACAATGGCACCTCGACTCCCCCGACCTATCTCTACTCTTCAAGCGCTCTCACGCGCCGCTCCACTTTCAATCCGTGTCACAGTTGCCCGCTTGAGCACCAGCAGCACCGACAATGTGATCCAAACTCAACACGTCCCGGCCCCAGGCTCCGGGACCATTCGCGTTCTCCTTCTCAACCGGCCCAAGGCCCGGAATGCCATCTCTCGTAGCCTGCTGGATGGTCTATCACAACACGTCAAATCTATCGCTGCCGAGAACGGCCAAGGGCCGACTCGAGCCTTGGTGCTCGGGAGCAACGTGGATGCCGCGTTCTGCGCCGGGGCGGACCTCAAGGAACGAGCCAGCATGACCAAAGAAGAGTTTGTCCCCCACCCCCCTCCCCCCCAACTCAATTCAGATTGCCCCCTCCCTTCCTCCCCCAGAAACTCAATCTATCGGACTGCTAACCCCCCTTCTCGTTCCACCTCATCTACAGAACGAGCCAATTCCTCAGCCACCTCCGCCAAACTTTCAGCGCCCTCGCCTCCCTCCCCATCCCGACCATCTCCGCCGTCTCCTCCACCGCCCTGGGTGGCGGCCTCGAGCTGGCGCTGTGCTCGCATTTCCGGGTCTTCGGCTCCGCGTGCATGGTCGGCCTCCCGGAGACGCGCCTGGCTATCATCCCCGGCGCGGGCGGCACCTACCGCCTCCCGCAGCTGATCGGGGTGCACCGCGCGCGCGACCTGATCCTCACGGGCCGGCGGGTTTCCGGCCCCGAGGCGTACTTCCTGGGGCTGTGTGATCGGCTAGTGGAGATCCTGCCGGAGGAGGAGACGCAGGAAGGCGTCGCGCGGGAGAAGGTGCTGCGCGAGGGGATCAATCTCGCGCTGGGGATCTGCGAGGGCGGGCCCGTGGCGATCCGCCAGGCGATGAAGGCGCTGGACGGGTGGGAGCGGGGCGAGGTGGCGGAGAATGAGGCGTATGAGGGCGTGATGGGCACGGAGGATCGGATGGAGGCGCTGCGGGCTTTTGCGGAGCGGAGGAAGCCGGTCTTCAGGGGGAGGTGAGGTGGGTAGCTCTCACTTTGTAAGTGTTGTACACTTTTTGTTATTTGGGAGTACTGTTGAAAAAGGAGAGAAGGTGGCGATGGGTGCGTGATGAGGTATCAAGATTGCTACCATCATGTTTGAGGTGAAAATGCTGAGTGTGTTGACTTGCACTTTATCTAAAGTCTCTCTAATATCAAGGCATGGGTCGGGTATTCTTCTATATTGATTGATTCTTGAGTCTTGCGCCGCCTCAACGTCTCTATATAGTTGATCGGATTCTAATAACATCTCCACCCCCAGCACAAACGGATGGTAGGGATAACATCAAGCAGCATTACAGTCACAGTACCCTATCACCGATCAACCACCAAGGTAGGTATGAGTTGTTCTACATTCTAATCCCACTATATACAGTCCACCAGCATGGATTGCTTGGCCTTACAGCCTGATTAGTCCCGGTATGATTTTGCGTATATGTGATCATTGAATAAGTTGGATTTGGCTTGTCTCAGACCAAGGCCAAGAAAGATTATCAAAATTGCTTGGGTTGGTGATGGTCTCGGCTTTGACTCATGGCCTTTTCAAAGTAGTGTAGTACAGGACTCGAACCTCCAACTAGGATTTCTTCTCTTTGCGCCGCTGCGCCTCTGGGGCGTTTGGTTTGCCCCGGGGAGGGAGGGAGGCTGCGTGCCCGCCCCAGGTTGGCGACGGTCAGCTGGGGGATGACGGGAGGGTCTCAGGGCAAGTGAGTACATCAACAGGCGGTAAGGTATGAGGGGTTATTCTCCATCAGTCGATTTTTGATCTGATGGATAACATGAGCAGGTGGAGTGAGCCAAGCGGACAGACACCTGGGGATGGCGGAAGTGCGGGGGATCGACGTACTGACCTTCGGTGACTTGAAGTGATTCATGTAGGATTCCAGGTTGACATCAGGTACGCTCGCCATTTTTTTTTTTTTTTTTTGGTTTTGTATGACCTTCCTCTTTTCCAAGTTAGATCTGACGACTACCTTACCTACATGCATCCACCGGCGTGGGTTTGTTTAAGCTTACAGTCTGATTAGTGTGCATAGTAATTCCGTTTCATTATCAGGTACTAGGCATGTAATAAGTGATGGTGGATTAAGTAAACTGACTACCCTTTTCAGTAAGTCAGAGCTGGGTCAAGTCAGAGTTCGGCGTTGTTTTGGTAAATCAGATATTGGTCATTTCTGCTTCTATAGATGATAATCAGTCATTAGTATATCGATAGAGTAGACCTACAGACTACCCGATTTTGAATCCTCGACATACTTTCTCTCGGCCGTGTGTTAGAAGGACTGCCTCACAGTGTCCTGCAATAATTATACGTGGCCTGTAATTGGACCAAGGTTTCGTGGCCGGAGAAATAAGTCCTCGTACAAAGAAGGGTCTGGGACTTAGTGCTTACAGCTGGCAGCTGGGCATCCTTCCGGAAGTTAACTAGTTAAGTGCGCCCGCACAACTGCCCCTTGAGTTGGATACGAATTTGAAGGGGTTTCCGAGCGATCGGTGAATTTGATACAGATACTGTGTTTGACTGGTCTTCAACAGTGGTTGAGATGTCCAAGGCTACGAACTACGACTGAGGTAGCCACCAAGAAATCTGCCTGCAAACAAGACTCCAAATCATCCACGGCAATCAGCAAACAACTTAACCTTCCCGATCGGACGGATGCCAAAGGAGTTCCCGTGGTTCCTCAGGGGGAGTGACCAGTGGGAGGTCATGCTGCCTGCCTCGCTGACTGCAGATCCGTGACACGAGCCTCGGGGCTGAGTCTTGCAGCTTGACTTGTTCCTTGCGATGCGAAGAGTCCGACAAGGCTGAACAGTCACCATTGCCTAGCTGGGCCCCGACTGAGTACCTAATGGTTTGCCATACAACCGAGGATCTATCATCACGTCTCTATCGACAATCGTGGTCTGTTTTTCGTGGGCAGTCCTCGTTTCACCCATTCAATAACTACTAGTAAGTACTTCTTACATATCAACAACAGCGATTGAAGACCAGTCAAGCACCATATCTGTATTGAGTTTGACTAAAAACAAGCGTCTCAATCTCAGCAGGATTAGATTACCTGATGGTTGGGGAGGATTGTAGGGGTCCTGTTTCGCAGTAGGCACAGGCACGCTGCCAACTGCCACCCCGGGGGCCGGGCAAGTCATCCGCCTTTCTCATGCTCCTCCTTCCTTCCAACGCTTAAATAACTTACTATTCCCCACGCACGCACACCCACTCTCACTCACACACTCACATACTCCCTCCCTCCACCACACACGCACGATCAATATTGACCTTCCCTTCGTATCAAACTTCCTACCTTCTTCACTCACTTCCTTGTTCCTTTCCCTTACAGGCAATCAAGACAACAAGATAACGAGATAAAGTCAAACGTCCAAGGAATCAGTCTTGACGTTTCGACTACTATCTCACCCTAACCACCCTCACACATGGCCAACCTTCCCACTCGTGTGAAGGAGATCGGTCTCAGCGAGGTTTACCGTGCAGAAAAGCCTCTTGTCGATATCGTGTTCGTGCACGGCCTCAACGGTCATGCGTACAACACCTGGGCTTCCAAGAACAATGGCACCTTTTGGCCCGCCGACCTCCTTCCTGAAGTCCTCGGCCCTAGTCACGTTCGCATCCTAACGTACGGATACAACGCCAACGTCACGGCTTTCACCGACGGCGCCTCCAAAGACCGTCTTCACAATCACGCAGAGACGTTGGCCTCGGGCTTGGCTGCGAATCGAAATGTGAGTACTACCAAACCCCTCTTCTTCGCCTGACTCGTGTGAAAGTCGTATCTTGTCCCAAGGTATGCATATATATTGACCTCGTTTTCAGCTGCGGAGTTGTTCAGACAGGCCCATAATCTTCGTTTGCCATTCGCTGGGCGGCCTGGTCGTCAAGCGCACCCTGATTTACTGCCGGAGCGTGAACAACGAAAAGATCCAGCATCTCAGATCCATATACGTTTCCACGTACGGCATCCTGTTCCTCGGAACACCCCACAATGGGTCCGACGTCGCCAAGTGGGGCGCGCTTCTGCAGAACATTTGTAGTGCTGTGATGCCGAAAAAGTTCATGGAATCTTCGCCTCACTTGGTCAGAGCCCTCAAGACAAACAACGAGACGCTTCAGAACATCAACAGCCTCTTCGCTGACATCACGAGCCGCTTCCACATCTATTTCTTCCATGAAACCTTGTCCAGTGACGTCAAGGGCACTCGCGAGCTGATCGTCGACGAAAGCTCTGCGGCCCCTTATATGGAAGGTGTCGAACGGATGGGCATCGAAGCTGATCATAGTCATATGTGCAAGTTTGACGATGAGGGCTCCCCGGGATATGAGGCGGTGGCAGAGGCTCTCTTGCGATATTCGCGTGACGCCCCAGCGACCATACATGAACGCTGGATCGAAGAGGGAAAGGCGCGCCGGCTCATGAAAGAGACAATAGCCCGGGAGATGTTTGGGAACGGTATGTGATCTCGCTCGAATTTCTTTGCGTAACTCTTGCGGCCTTCGGGAGCTGATTATGTATGGATAGTGGACACGGAACAACTTGGAAGAAGCGCACCGGACCTTCGTTCAATCGGTAAGCCACAGATGCTTCCTGGTCCCCATTCTCCGATCACTTGGAAGCAGTACGAGGTCGAAGAGCCCGTGGAACCTTCAGTCCCTTATAGTAAGCATTTCTAAGCGGTGTATCGTGCTGAGGAAATTCCTGGAGGGGCGGTGATAATGTCTTGTTCTTCCTCTTGTTCTTCGTCTTCCACTTTTTCTTCTTCGTCGTTGTCGTCGTCACAATGTTGTCATCTATTTCTCTGCTCCATGTATTCTAGTTGCCTCTTTCTACCATGGACACATTGTCAGTCGATAATGCTGACTATGTCTCAGGTAATTCTGAATTAATGGTACTCCCTTCTGAGAGAAGACGCTCGGTTGTATCGGAAATGGCGATGGCGGAGAGCACTGAGCTGCCTTTGTCACGATCCCTACGGGCTGATCCTCTTTTTGTGGTCCCGCCCGGATTCCATCCAAATGCAACATTTGTAGGCATGAAAAAGGAGCTTGAAGTGTTGCATGCGCGTTTGTTCAAAGCCAAGAAGAGAGCGGAGCGTCTAATGGCCGTTTTGATTTGTGGAGGACCCGGAACTGGCAAGTCGCACCTTGCACGACAATACGTGTGCACCCATCGAGATATCTACCCAGCGGGGGTTTTCTGGGTCGATGCCAAGTCCCTCGAATCAACTTACAAATGCTTCTGGGATATGGCTCAAGCGGCCGCACTGACGGATGGGCAGGAATTCCGGTATCCCGACACCAACCCATCGCGCAAGTATGTAGATTCGGTGAGGACATGGCTGCAAAACCGGGAAGGCTGGCTCATTGTGTTCGACGGAATCAGCTTTGCGCACGAGCATGATATCAACAACTTCAAGCAGTTCCTCCCGTTCAACAAGAATTGCAGTATCATCTACACCTCAGTGGATAAAACCCTGAAGAGAAAACAACGTCTGTACGAGCCATATTGCCTTCAGGTGAAGCCACTCGAGCCGGAGAACGCATGCAAGCTGCTTTTTGAAGACCTCGGTATTAGAAAACCGACCGCAGGCCAGATCAGGAAAGCCACGGAACTGGTAACTCATTATGAGTGCCTTCCTCTCGCTATTCATGCGATTGGCCACAGGCTCAGCGCCACGTCAAAGCCAATTCAGCGATATCATATCAATTCACATTTGACAGACGAGAAGCTGGCGGAACCGTTTTTAAGCATCATGCACGATCTGATGTGTTTAGGGCACTGGGCGGCGCTCAACCTGGTTAACATGCTTTCATTCTTTAGTCACCATATCCCTGTGGGTCTCTTGACCTTGGGTCTCTCAGCGCGTATACAGCAGAGAGCTGGAGTCATGACCCAAAGCAGAAGCGGAGAAGCGGGGGATCTTGACACGACGATCGGAATCTTGATCCGATATGGCCTCATTGAACGAGTATCTGACTCGTACCCGTTGCACCCCACAGCTCTGTCGCCCCAGGCAGAAAGAGACAACGTACTGGAACAGAAGTTTGTGGTGCCGGACCTTTCTGAGTCGCAAACAGAGAGCAGCCAGGAAGCCTTCTTCTCTTCAGTCTTGCAGAACGCAGGAACGATTGACGTCTTAAAGATCCATAGTGTCGTTCAGGGATTTTGCCGTGACGAGCTGAAAATGATGGATGAAGAAGAGCGGATGAAAGCCGCCGCCACCAATCCAAACGCTCTGGAGACTGGATTGTATGATTCATGGCTTGTCGTGGTATGCGACGTACTCAGCACCTCGTACGAGAAAGTCCAAGCAAGAAACGAAAGTCACGGCGGCGGCGGACTTGTCAAAGATTACCGCGAGTTCGAAACTCATGTGTCAAAGGTACTCGAGCACTTCCCAAGACGATCAGCCCGGGAGGCAGCTGCGGTCCGTCAGGCGCGGGACGACATGAGGATATTAAAGAGGAGTATTTCCAAGGTGATAGATCGGATTTCACCAAACTCTGGTTCGATTTGTAACCAACGCTCGGTCTTTGATCGGTCAAGTAGCTCGTCTTCGTCGGTGCCCGAGTCCGCCGCAGAGGACTTGCCTGCTTGGCTTGAACCCACGGCACCCCAGGTGGAATCTCCGCAGGAGGCCGCTCCGCGCCCGCAAAAATTCAATCTGAAGCCTTTCTTCCCACACATATTTCGTCATTCCAGCCAGGATCAGGCGGGCGACGCTCCTCCAATCTCCCAAACAGGTGAAGCAAGCGAGAGGCCGAAGTCCAATTCATCGGAGGTGGTATCTGGTACGAATGCGTCGGATGAGCGAGGCTGGCACCTGGTCAAGAAATCTTCGAAGCCCTCAAAGCCCACTACTGACAAGCCTAAACGGCCCAATCTACCGCATCGCATTCGAGGCTCTCAGCTTGCGGCGCCTGTTCTAAAGGTCTTCCCCGTAGAGGGCATATCGGGCAAGCCTGGAGACCAAGACCGTAGCAGCTCTCGGACCTCGGCGTCGGAGGCGTTGGCGGCGGTCACACAAATCACGCGCCCGCCGATGAACGGCAGGCAGTTTGCAAGTGCTCCAAGCGATTTCACAAAGAGCTTGTCGAAGGAAAATGATTCACCCAGCTACGCCACGATTGCAGCCAGACAGGCGCAACATATGACTAAAAAGCCGCGGTCATCCTCGATTCCTAGTAGAAGCCGGCCAAGGTTGCATGGTCTGCAGGATAAATCCTCTGAAGAATCACTTTTCAACCGTTCAAGTAACGTTATATCCTCGAAGCCTCCAATGACCTCTTCGACATATAGTGAGCCTGATCCGGCGTATTTGAGCCATCAGCTGAAAGCTCTGGAACTCGGCGTAACGGCTAGTCGATACAGAGCGCCTCCGGGCACGTCTTTCAGCGGTATTGGGTCCCCAATGGGGGATATGTCAGCAAGCACACCGTCTATGACATATCTCGCACCGGGCCTGCCATTTGAGGGTAATATCGATATATCAGCAGCACGTCGACTGAGCACCACACCATCGACATCAACAGGCCCAATTTCCCATCCATCTGCGATCATGCCCGGAACATCACCACCTTTTTCAGACCTGCACGCTGGATATATGTCCGAGCCGGCCCCAGAACCGATGTCTCGTGATATGTCCGCAAAGTCACAACAATCCTGGGCTACCGACCCCGTTCCTTATCCCCGTCGATGGGCCCCGGTGAACATGATTCCACCAATACCGAATCTGGCACCACCGCCAAAGCAAAGTAAATTTCAAACAGAGCTTTCTTACGCCGCGGCAGCGGCACATCTCCGGCCTCTGGAGCCTCTGGAGGGTCCCGTCCCCTTCGAGCCTGTTTGGCCGCGTATGAATGTTGACAGCAGACCACAGTTTGGTGGGCCCGTGCAATATGCAGCAGCAGCAGCAGGACAACTCTTGCCTGGATACCCAGCGACTTATCACCCAAACCTCTCAGGACCTCTACTCTCACAAGAGATCACCATACCGATGGCGGAGCCGCTTGGCGGGCGAGCCCGGAGTGGGAGCTCTCCTCCACGACAAGAATAACCCATAGAAGGGACAGAGACTATTTCAGCAACGAAAAAAAAAGTATTGTCAGGTTGTTTGACATCGGAAATGTCGGAGTTACAGTGCGTGAAAACAGCATAGCAGGAAGGGAATGGAGGGTTCGGTGTTGACATGTATCATCCCCGCATGTGGGCGGAGTAACGCGTCTGGGGATATTTGGCTTGTTGATTAATTTTCATTTTCATTTTCATCATTTTCCAGGCACAGATGACCAGTTTTGTTCGAGACTGTATCATCAACAGAGTGATGCCACACTGAGCAATAATAAGATGCAGATCACTTATTGCAGACACACACAGTTTCACAGGTTAATCGGCTTCAGAGATGATTTGTGTGAGGGGGAAGGAAGGATGAAAGAAGGCGGAAGGAAGAAAAGTGCGGGGAAACGGGAACGTCCCTGTTACACCGCCTTCTGGATCAAATACGCGAGGCAGAAAGCACATTGTGCACACAAGTTACTCTATCTATGTACAGTGCTGGAATGTAAGTACAAGCTCGGTAGCCAGCGAGGGAGCATTACTGACTATCTATCTTGAGCATGCACCTGATGAGACTATATCGAAAATAGAGCCAAGCTCTAGCACTTAGGGTTAATCAACGTAGTTCTTCTTTAGAAGTAGTTCTCTCACACAAGAGAGAGTACTTGGAGAGAATTCTGCCGGGAACCAGACCAGGCGGTGGGATCTGCGGGGGACCCACTGACGGAGTACGAGTGGTGGCGGGGCGGGCATCGACGTAAGAGCGACATAAGAGAACAGAAGCCGAGCCAAGCTGCCCAGTGATGCTGCCAACCATCCATCCTGATGACGTCGTTCAACTGCCATACCTCAGCTTATAAGCCTCTGGTTGCCAGCATGCTTCCAGTACAAGAACATCCGTTCAAGAACTACCCTCAATTGCTACAACTACTACCACTACAACCACTACAACCACTATTACTGCTTCTTTAAACATACCCCTCAACATACACCTCATACATTCCACCATGTCTTTCATCGCTCGCATCGCCCCTGTTGCCCGCACCGCCTCCGCGGCTCTCAAGCCCACTGCTCCCTCCATCTCCATCGGAGCCACTCGCGCTCTCTCCTCCAGCGCCTGCTTGAACAAGGGCCCCGTTGAATCCGCCAAGGACACTCTCAAGGCCGCCGATCGCACTGTCTCCGATGCTGCGGTGAAGGGTATCGAGGTTGGAGGTACGCTCTTCTAGACCGTTCCCCTTCTCCTCTCTACACGGAACTATGCTAACATGATTGCCCTGCAACAGAGACCGCCGCCGAGAAACTCAAGGGTACCGTGGGCGCTGCCTCTGGCCAGGCTCAGGCCAAGACCGGAGAACTGCAGGGTGACGCTGCTGAGTTGGCCGGGAAGGGCAAGGGTAAGGCCGAGGAGGCTTTGGGTCAGGCCAAGGGTGCTGCTGGCCAGGCCAAGGGCAAGACGGACGAGCTCCTGGGTGAGGCCAAGGGCAAGGCTAAGGAAACTGCTGGTCGGTTCTAGATGAGAGCATTCTCTTTTTTATTTTATGCGCATGTGGTTTTTTTTTTTTTTTTTTTGGTTCCGTGACAACCAACCACTTTCACTTTGGATGATATGATGAAGATACGCCAGCTATCATGGGCCTTGTGATTGTATTATTATTATTACTCTAATGACACAAAGGAAAGATTTCTTCATGGTGTCTGTTGCTTCTAGTAGACTAGACGTAATAAGTTGAGTGATTAGGCGTGATCGGAGGTGGTTAGTGGCTCGGCGATGATGTAAGGCCGCATGGCTCCATCGCCAAAGGATCGGATCCAACACTAAAAATAAAGGAGTTTCCGGGGTCTCGCAGAACTTTAATTCCTGTGCCATGTGAGCGAGTTTATATGAGTAAATTCACAACATGCCAGTTGAAATAGTCAGGCGATAAGATTATATTCTCAGGTTGTCGGTTCCTTTGAGTTAGAACGCGAATAAAGTACGTAGTTGTATCTGGTTCAGGGGCCAGATGTGGTCTGCATAAACCTTGATGCATGATTTGTTATCCAACTGCCCCTCCGGTCATGAACCGAGGCATGATTTTTTGCCTCCGTTCCCCTTGTCGTCCCTTCCCCACTCGGCTGTTGCTTCCTGCTCCCTATCTTTTCGTTTCTTTTCTTCTACGTTTTCTCTCTCGTTTTCAGTGTTTCCCTGTTGTGGCGGTTTTCCCTCCATATCTTGTCCCCTTCGCCTTCCATTCATTCCCACATCGTCTTTTCTAGCTGTACCGAGACAATGAGGAACTTCGATAATCCCCTCAGTGTGCTCAAGGCCATCCTCGTGCGCATTCCCCTCGTACTCAAGGTCATCTTCCTCCATACCATTCGCCTCTCCCCAGTCAAGGGCAAGCAGGATCTACGCACCGAACTGACCGTCGCCATCATTCGCTCGCTCCTCAGCTTCAGCGCCTCCATTTCCGAGCAGCAGAAAGCCAGCATCCGCGACCCGGGCATCAAGGGTCCCATGTGGGTGTCCAAGGTGACGTTTCCGCAGCCGGAGATCAATGTTCAGGACGCAGTCGTGAAAGCCATTGAGGCCCACAGAACGGGCGATGAGACCTACGACTTGCCTGGAGTGGCACCGGTCGAAGCAGAATGGACAGGCTATCGCAGTGGCGTGGACAAGAATGCTCCGCAGCCCGACATCTCCGAGGAAGCCAAGTATGAGGAGCTGAAGAAGGAATCGAAGGAAGACATGGTGATTCTCTACTTCCATGGGGGGATTTACTTGTGAGTTCTCCCTGTCTATCTTTCTCTCGCTTGCTCTCTCTCTCTCTCCATAACCACTTAAGGGTCAGTGGTATTATCTTGCACGAAACTCACCGTTCAATGCCAGTCTCATGGATCCCTGCACGCACCGTCCCACCGTTGCGCAACTCTCCAAACGCACTGGGGCCCCCGTCCTCTCCGTGCGCTACCGTCTCGCCCCTCAGCACCCCTTCCCTGCTGCCCTGACCGACGCCCTCGTCGCCTACCTCTCCCTCATCTCCCCGCCCCCGGGCTCCCTCCATGACCCCATCCCTGCCAACAAGATTATCCTAGCCGGCGACTCCGCGGGGGGTAATCTCTCTCTCGTCCTCACTCAACTCCTGCTGACCCTCCACCGCGTCCAACCCACCATCCGCTTCCACGGCCGCGACATCCCCATCGCCCTCCCCGCGGGCGTCGCCACCTCCTCCCCTTGGTGTGACATGACCCGGTCGATGCCCTCGGTGGCCCACAACGCGATCTACGACTACCTAGATGCGCCGACCTCCACGCCAGCCACAGACCCGTTCTTCCGGCCCCTAGTCGTCCCCGCCGACGACATCTGGCCCGTGAAGCCACCGCGCGTGGACCTGTACGTGCACGCCTCCTCCCTCCTGCACCCGCTCGTCTCCCCGATCGCCGGCGACGCGGAGCTCTGGGCCGACGCCCCGCCTGTGCTTCTCTCCATCGGCGAGGAAGGCCTCACGGACGAGGCGCTCGTGCTTGCCCGCAAGATGCACCGCGCCGGCGCCCCCATCCTCGTCGAGCAGTTCGAGGGCATGCCGCACTGTTTCGGGCTGGTGATGCTGGACGCGCCCTCGGGCCGGCGGTTCTACGATGGAATGGCCCGGTTCTGTCGCGATGCAGTGTTCCACGAGGGGAAGGAAACGGAGGCGAAGAGCGGCGAGGTTACATTCATCGGCTATAAGCTGCTCTCTGAGAAGGCGATCCCCGTGGAGAAGGCAGTCCCACTTTCGGACGAGGAGGTCGAGGAGCGGTTACACGTGAATGCGCAGTGGCGGCTGGACGGCGAGAGGGAGTTGCAGAGGGAGTGGGCGGACAAGGCCAGGTTGTGATCTTTCCCGCCCGGACATCTACACACACAACACCCTTTCCCTCCCTTACGCCTTTTTCCATATTACCCATCCCCACCCCTCTAAGGTGTTCTCAATCCTTCCCAATCGATCTTAAGGATCATGTGGCAATAAGGATTGACATCTTCTGCTTGGCGTGTTACTTGATTTGTTAATGTTGTTCATGGTTCAATACCCTGTTAGATTACTTGCCCTTAGCATAATAAACATGAATGTCCTCCGCTGAAATGACATAAGAGTAGTTGCTCTGTGCTCGAAGGATCTTAGTGTGTACGTACTAAGCAGTGTCTAGTGGCCGGCTACTACCGCAAAGGGGAAAGTGAACACGGGTTCGCGCAGATCCACGATAACCTTAGATAAGGGCCCGTGTGCGCTTCGGGATTCATTCCCAGTATTCCTACGTATCATGATGGCAAGCGGCCGGCCCGGACTAAACCCTGACCGTCTCAACTATGATACAAAGCCATCCAGAGAAGAAAGTCAAGCGGATACGATGCCTAAGTAAAGTATGTAGTAGCGACCTTAAAAGAAAAAATCAGGGCTAAATCGACTTGTAGAGCTTCCTCTTCATCAATGTCAAATGATAATCATATTCCGGCCCCAAAACACCATGCACCGGTAGGTAGTAGTGTGTCGAATAATGGATGTTCCTCAAAAGTTATATGACCTAGAGATCACCTCTTTGAATCTTTGAAATAAACTAAATAATCTCATCGTCGTCCATGGACCCGTCGTCGTCCCAGGAACCAGATCCACCATGGCTTCCGTGACTCTTGGGGTTGCGTCCCCCATTCACGTCCAATTCCGGAACGGCTTCGGGAACCACCGGTCGCTTGTCGTCCTTCCCGGACCACAACTTCGACGGTGAGAAGAAGCCACCGCGGCTGGCCGCTGCTGTGGATTGTGCGAGACTCACGACGCGGGTTCCGTGGATGCGGATCTCGCCGGACAGGTTCAGCGGCCGGGGGGGCTCCTCGACGTAGCCGTCCCAGAGGCCAAGGGAGAGAGCGATGAATCTGACCGTGGCAATGAGAATGGCCCAGACCGGTGCGAGTATGGAGGATAGATTCAGCCAGCGCCAAAGCATTGTCGGAATCACATAGGGGAATTGAGGTGCATCAGGCCGGAGACAGTTGCCCTCGCAGACGTTCGCGATGATGGGGTGGCAGTAGTAGTCGCACATGGTGGTCTCGGAGTATAGCCAGGCCAAGAATATGAGGAGACACCATCCGAGGCCGGTGGGACGGACGCGTCGGGAGATGGGATCACGTTTCCAAAGCCGAGGAAAGGAGATGATGGTGTAGACCCGACCTTCAGTCTCCGCCTGACACTTCGCGCAGATGGTTGCTCGTGAAGACTGTGATCCCTTGGATGAGGGTGCGGTCAAGACGTTGCCGTCGCGCGAGGCTTGTTCCTCAAGGCTCTTTAGTCCCGATTTCACCTTCTGTATGTTCTCCGCAAGCGACTTCAGCTTCTCGTTCAGGCGATCTAGATCCACGGTCTCGTTATCTCCGGAGCTTGCAAGCTCAAGTTTCTTCAAGATCGCCTTCTCGTACGCAGCATCCTCCTCTTCCGCAGTAGCATTTTCACTCGGTTTTCCCTCGAGAAGTCCTTGAAGGGACTCGATTGTATCGTCACCCACGTCGAATATCTCCTTGTGGGCTTTAAAGTCCTGTAATACGGTTTCCAGTGCGCTTTTAGGCAGGTCTGGCTTGACCAACGGTTTTTTGTTCTTCGGCTTGGCTTTCTGACTTGCTTCCGGCTGCTCTTCTTGTTTCTTCCCCTCTTTCGGTTCTTCTTTTGGGGCTTCTTTGCTTAGCTTTCCGATGTTCTGTTCTGTCTTGTTTTCCTTTGGTTTGCTCTCTATCACAGGCTCTTCCTTCACAAAAGCAGACTCTTGTCGCTTTTGATCTCTGTCTTCTTTTTCCGTCTTACTTAGAGCCTCTGACTCAGATGGCTCTGACAGCTCACTAATTCTAGACTCTCGGGGCAGAAAGGCTGACGCGTATCGGTGATTCTGCGGCGGTGGCGGCACGATATCCCGCGACAGTTCCTCGGGAAACTTGTCAACTCGTTCAGTCATCGGAGTATCAATCCAAGCGCCAGTGACGACTGGCGTTTTGTCGTAGATCCGTGGCCTTTGCTGGACTTTCTGGGCTTCCGGGGTTTTGAACTCATCGGTACTTCGTTGCCCCGGACTCTCAGTCCGTGACAGTTTCCGGAGTAGATCCTGGGAGTCCCTCTTGGTTGGGCTTCGTTTGGTGAAGGTCGAGCTCGGGTATAGGGTGATCGGGGTATTAGGGATCCGTTCGCCCTCGGTCACTTTCTCGGCCTTCTGTTCCGAAGACAACTTGTTCTGCGCGTCAGAGAGAGGCACCCTGTCGTATCGACCCGTAGGGCGGTCTCCGACCATGGTCCCTCGTTCCAAGTTACTTTGTGTGTCCCGATCCGCCCTGACCCTCGGAGGTGAGGGGTCTTTCGACCTATCCACCGTGGAACCCAACGGGAGGTTGTCACGTCGCGTCATGCTTTTCAACCAGTCGCGACGATACTTTGCCTTGGTTCCCCACTCCGGAGGTGGATGGACCGCAGGCCTGGGCTCGTTGTCGTCGTCGTCCTCCATATCTATTGCTCCTCCCTGAAATTCTCCCTCTTCGTCGCGTCGCTGAAGGTTCTCCGACGTCAGGGGGTCTC